TTTTATATAATTCTAAGTAAACAAACATTAATTTACAGGGGAAATTATTACATTTATATATATTTTATATAATTCTCAGTAAACAAATTTCCCATATCATCACCGAGCATGAGCCGTAAACCCAAAATGTTATACTTGATCCTGCCTCCCAAGAACTTCAATATTTTGTCTACTAAGTAACCTTCCTGCCTGCCTATCCACACACAAAAAATGTAATCAGAAAGTAACATAATTATTGTATTCTTAATTTTCTTGCATTTTATGTCAATGTGAAACATTAGGAGTCTCGTCGTGGACGTGGTGGTGAGCAGACGTATTTAGGTTCTAATTAGCTTGGACCCCAACTCCTTCAAAAAACTAGCAGCACTTTTATCCCAGGCACCAAGTGTCTCTGAGGTTCGAGGTGCCAAGTATAAATTTGGATAAAAAGTTGATAAGTAATTAATTTCATTAAATTAATAGGTAATTCTGATGTGAGAATTTTTTTTCCAGAATGAAGGAGACGAGGCTTTCATCCGCCATCGTATTCATGAAGCTTATATTATTTCTTTGATATGAGACAAACCCCTAGACAGCCACTTGGAAGGACTCCGTTTACAGCTAAGTCACTATAGCTTGTTCTTACTTACTATCTTAGTTTTTTAGAACACTAATGATTTAATGATTACAGTGTCTCCAGTCCTCCCTTTCCTAGGAGCCGTGTAGGCTGAGACGTAGCCTAGTACAACCCATCTTCCTGTTTTGGTAGTACTTATAGTAACAATTAGGACCACAATACATATACCGACGTTCAACGCAATTAGAAAGTAGAAATCGGTGCTATTGAATTTGGACAAGCCGGAAAAGATTTTTTATGTTACAAAGAAAAACTAAACTAACCGCTTGCCTATCTCACCAATGGCATAGAACCCCGCTTGGCTGGTCTCCGCCACCAGAACACCCGCTGTCACTACACCCAGCAACACAACCGCATCATACCTGCAACATGCAAAGTTTTTAAAATCTTAAAATAAATTAAGGAAAGATAAATGTCTGCTAATGTTCGTCAAAAAGAGAGAGAAAGAGGGCTAGCAGATAGCTGACATTTCTGTCACTCATTTTTAGGGGACACCGTGTTGTACAGTATTAGAGATTATATCTGCTACTGGCTTTCGCCTCACCCATAAACTAGAGGAAGCTCTAGGTCTTTCTTTCCTGCTGTCCTACACCAGTCCGACATCTCAACCCCCCATTGTGATTCTGTGATTCAAGTATGTTAAGCACTCGCTCATGTCAGTCCTCTTCCATGTATTCAGATTCGTGCGGACTTCTTGAGCAGACGTGTTAAAGGCTCTTTATCAGTCCAGGAATAAGCAAACTGTCCATTTTTATCTATTCTGTCTTATTTTCGTTATTTTATCATAGGACTCCAGTAGATTCCTTAGGCATGATTTCCCTTCCGTAAAACTGCGTTGGGTTTGTTTTCATAACTAATCTTCTGTAGGTGTTTTACTAATATTAACCCGATTGCACAAAGAAATCACATTAACGTGATGTATCAGTCAGAAAATCGGTTGGAGCCGTGATGAGGATTCGAACCTAAGTTTCAAACCTAAGGTTTTAGGTTCCAATGCTCCTAACGGCTCCTACTGATTTTTTTTTCATTAACCCTGTTAGGCTACAGTAGGTTGGGTTAGTCATGAACAACTGTCTCACAGCGTGACAGAGACAGGTTCTTGCTACGGCTCAAGCACAGAGCTCAAGCTCAAACACAGAGCTCAAGCTCAAGCACAGAGCTCAAGCTCAAGCACAGAGCTCAAGCTCAAGCACAGAGCTCAAGCTCAAGCACAGAGCTCAAGCTCAAGCACGAGCTCAAACTCAAGCACAGACAGATACAATCTGTGTAGTAAACGACAGTGGCCGTGCCTTAATATATTCGGTTAATGGTATATATAAACGTGAGAGAGTAAGGGATGGAAATATCATGTTTGTCGAAATAAAATGATTACTTTTTCATGTTTGTTGAATCTAAAAATTGATGCGTGACACACACGCATGCTCATTTTCACGTCTTCGAGGACGAATGAGACAAATTCGTGTCAGACATCAATTCCAACTTTATAATTCAAGAATTTTCTCATAAAAAGTTGAGGCTATTCACTAAATAACATGAATCTCAAGAGATCATCCGACTTCATATATGTATATATATGATGGTGATAAACTACTTAATAACACGTCAGGTTATCTTGAGGTTATCTTGAGATGATTTCGGAGCTTAGAGTCCCCCTCACACGTCCCCGTCCCCGGGTCCTCGACCAGGCCTCCTTTTTTGTTACACATCCCTAGGAAGCAGCCCGTAGCTAACTAACTCCAAGGTACCTATTTACTGCTAGGTAACAGGGGGCATTAGGTGCGAAAGAAACTCTGCCCATTTGTTTCCGCCTTCACTGATGATCGAACCCTGAACCTAGGGACTACTAATCCGAAGCGCTATCCACTCTGCTGTCAGGCCCCCCTCCTACTGATTTTCTCACTCATTCCTATGTTGACTGGCATTTAGAACATGTCTGCTCAATATGTAAATAAACTGAGTGGAATTAACCTCTAGTATGTTTTTGTAATACAAAAAGAAGAGTAAATTGAGTTTCATTTTTTTTCAATTTATCAGAATTGGTGTACCAGGTGACTTTATTGTTGTTCTGACTTCTCGATGGGTAGTGTCCAGTCTTGGGGTGGGACTCTTGCTGGTTTCAGTTCAATTGGGAGCCAATGTTGGGGGGTGTGGGTGGAGATATGTGAATGAGCAGGGACTTGTGGGTATCTTTGGGGCAGTGAGCTGGAATACCGTTGGTAACTTGTCTCAGGTTCTGGCGTACCTTTGGTACCTGTTGTCTCAGGTGCTGGAGTACCTTTGGTACCTGTTGTTTCGCTCTCCTGCGAGATCCTTCTTCAAACTATCAACAAAAAGAATCAAAATTGGCAGAAACAACTAAAGGACAGAAATGAGAAATGTAAATCAAATAGAAAGACTGAAAATGGTGAGGTGCCTCTACCAAACTGATCCTCAAGGCTAAGGAGAACCCATTTGAAAAATGGTGAAGTGCCGCTTCTAAATGTTGAACCTGAAAGATTAGAACCTACTTGGGAATGACCTGAAGCCTCACCTGGAGCCACATTTACCTGTCATTACCGGGGCAGTTGGTGTATGGAGCGAGCGCGAGGTACCGTGGTAGCTGTGGAGGGAATCACATGTGTCCGCGAGTTAGTGCAGCGAGCGTATGACGCCACCTCGAGCGTCCATTGTCTTTAAGGAACATCGACCCACGGTGAGGTATAATTTTTTTTTGTCTATGGCCGTTTACCTGTTCAATCCAGCCACAACTGCTTGTATTGATTTGTATAAATCACTGACAAATGAAGTTTTAAAATCTAAATTTTGATCATATCGTATATAGTTATAATAATTATATTATTATAATTATATTATTATATCCCTTGATACTTTGGTTGTTCCTCTAATACTTTGGTTGGTTCCCTTGATACTTTTGTTAGTTAATTGATACTTTGGTTGTTCCTCTAATACTTTGGTTGTTCCTCTAATACTTTGGTTGGTCCCCTAATACTTTAGTTGGTTCCATTGATAGTTTGGTGGATCCCCTGATACAGTGGTTGGCCCCTTATTACTTTGCTTAGTCCCCCTAATACTTTACATGGTCACCGAATACTTTGCGTGGTTCCCTAATACATTGATTTGTTCCCTGATACTGTCCCCTGATTGTGAGTGACTAACTTAAACATGTTTTGTTCTTACCAAACACCCAACATAAGAAGCCAAAAGAAAAACGTTTATCCGAGAAAATCCACAGTAGGGCGGATGAGGTTTTGAACCCATGTGCTGGGGTATTTCCAGATGCACACGGAAGATGACTACGCTAGGAGTAGTCAACAACAGAATAGTCAACAGAATTGCAACTTGGGGCACTATTGCACCTTCGACGATTCCCGAGGCTTCTTGTGTAAACTCAAGGGTCATATTTCCGATAGGTATCGTATTAAAAAAAAACTGCGGGTGAATTTGGGTAAAATTTGACCAAATCGCCGTTTTTATTAATTTGCGTATTTTCGGTATAAAAAATCGTAATGGAAAACTCTAAGTATATGTAATCACTCTGAATTCCGCTCAAAAATAACCCTTAAGTGTCATATTTCCGATAGGCATCGTATTTTGAAAGCTGCAAGTCAATTTGGGCAAAATATGAGCAATTGCAGATTTCACTGATTTGTATATTTTCGGTATAAAAAGTCGTAATTTAAAACTCAAAATATGTGGAATTATCCTGAATTCCGCTCAAAAATAACGCTCAAAAATCATGAGAAAATTTCACAGAATTCCTGTGGATTTTCTGAATGATATACCATGATAATTTTATTTATTTATTTATTTATTTATTTATTTATTTATTTATTTATTTATTTATTTATTTATTTATTTATTTATTTATTTATTTATTTATATGTAAAAGAGTTCTTACATTCTTGTACATGTGATAATGTGATTTCTCTGTGTATAGACAGAGGGGCGTCAGAGGTAGAACTACTGGTGGACAGAGCCAGAGTGCATTAGGGGGGTGGAGGGGAATTGTGTGAAATCCCGGTTCAGCTTCAATTGAAACCTAGTGATTTCCTCGAAGGTGAAGTAGGCTGCAAATGGCCAAGACTCTCACCACAGCAGTAGTAACATAGTAATATCTTAAATATAGCAGACGTTTATAAGGCTTCAGTGAAATCGTAACAGCAACTATTAAGGCTTCCATAAGCCTTCGTGGCTTTAATAGAGATTTGCGCATTTTTTTCAAAACTTAAATCATAAGAGGCTTCAACAATCTTCGAGTACTTGATGAGACTAAGTCCTGACACGTGTAGCGCGATTTTCAGCCAACATTCAAATCTGATGGTCATCGTGAGGCAGCTCTTCACATGTTGCGAAATATAAAGCGCTTGAAATTAAGCATTGGGTGAACAATTCAATTTCTTTATTATGCACCCCATACCCATCCCGTGGGCGGTGGTGTAAAGGGTTACAGAGGCACATATAATCGGTTCAAGAACTGAACCTCATATTTCGTTTAGCTAACTAAGTGAAATCTTTAGAACCTAGTTACACACAGTTGTTTGACTGGCATTAGTGCGAAGGTAATTAACAGCTTTATTTCCAATCATTAGTGCACCAAATGCTTTGGTTAGTCTGGTTACATGACTGGTCAGTTACGGTATCAAATTACTCCAGGTGGAGTGATGTAGAGGTGTAGAGTCTTCAGTAGAGGTTCCAGGAGGTGTAGAGTCTTCAGTAGAGGTTCCAGGAGGTGTAGAGTCTTCAGTAGAGGCTCCAGGAGGTGTAGAGTCTTCAGTAGAGGCTCCATGAGGTGTAGAGCCCTCAGTAGAGCTCCAGGAGGTGTAGAGCCCTCAGTAGAGGCTCCAGGAGGTATAGAGCCCTCAGTAGAGGCTCCAGGAGGTGTAGAACCTTCAATAGAGGCTCCAGGAGGTGTAGAACCTTCAATAGAGGCTTCAGGAGGTGTAGGTCGTCAGTAGAGGGGCCCCCATGAGGCTTAGATCTTCAGTCGTAGTAGAGGCAGCACTTGAGGGCAGGAGGCAAGGTATAGTCGAGCCACTCCAGAGAGATGGCCATCATGTGTGGCGGACACTGCAGGCGGGTAAGTACGCCAGTTGTCACGCCGGGCACCCAGCCACTCGTCTCTCCGGGGATCAAGCACCTACTCGTGTCCACCTGTCAAGGGAAGGAGGAGAAGTCAAGATGAACGGTCAAGAAGGTCTCTCTCTCTCTCTCTTAAGTAATTATCAAAGACGGCGCCAAGCCGGGAAGGCTATGTTAGCACCGCGCGGTCTCTCAAAGCTGTTTGTAAGTTCTAAATTGTGAGCAGGAAAGAGAACTTGCGTTCCTTTTTGTTTACTTTTGATGTGTGACCATTTAAGACTGTGGGCTCCCTGTAGAGCCATATGGTGACCATAGAAGACTCTATGGGCCCCTGTAGAGCCATGTAGTGAACATAGAAGACTCTATGGGCCCCTGTAGAGCCATGTAGTGAACATAGAAGACTCTATGGCCCCCTGTAGAGCCATGTAGTGACCATAGAAGACTCTATGGCCCCCTTTAGAGCCATGCAGTGATCATAGAAGACTATGGCCCCCTGTAGAGCCATGTAGTGAACATAGAAGACTCTATGGCCCCCCTGTAGAGCCATGTAATGACCATAGAAGACTATAGGCCCCCTGTAGAGCCATGTAGTGAACATAGAAGACTCTATGGGCCCCTGTAGAGCCATGTAGTGACCATAGAAGACTCTATGGCCCCCTGTAGAGCCATGTCGTGACCATAGAAGACTCTATGGCCCCTGTAGAGCCATGTCGTGACCATAGAAGACTCTATGGCCCCCTGAAGAGCCATGTAGTGATCATAGAAGACTATGGCCCTCTGTAGTGACCATAGAAGACTCTATGGCCCCCTGTAGTGACCATAGAAGACTTTATGGCCCCCTGTAGTGACCATAGAAGACTCTATGGCCCCCTGTAGTGACCATAGAAGACTCTATGGCCCCCTGTAGAGCCCTCAGTAGAGGCTCCAGGAGCCTCTGGATAGTGACTCACACAGAGGGGGGGGGAGGAAGGAACCCATGTATAGGGCTACGGTACCCGGGTATCGCAATAGACTCACCTTCTGCGTCGACACTATCCCAATAGTGGTATTTTGAGCTCTGTAATTACTTCATACACTCAGGAATATTGGAAGATATTCTTGTGCTGCACCCAGATTTTGCCAGTGGAGGCTAATAGATCAGCATTAAGTATTTTGTTCTCTCCTAATTCCATGTATGACTGGCCATCCTGTGAGGTGAGCTTGTAGCTGGTTTTTGATCTACACTGTGTGGTCCTTTATACAGAATAGGGAAGCAGCACATTGCTGTGTATACCTAAACATGTTTAAAATACATTGTTTGAGAGGAGTTTTTGTAGAAACTGGTAAGAGTAATTATAATATAATGTTTCCATGATTCAGTGCTTACCTCTTGTGAAAATTGCTTAGAGTTGTTTAGTCAGAGTTGATTTGTTTTTTGTATTGAGGCTGGTATTTTCTAAATTGATTCCATGTACAGTATGTCTAACCATCCTGTGAGATGGGAGTATTAGATAAACTTATAGCTAGTTTTTTATCTACACTGTGTAATATTCCATATAGAATAGGGTAGCAGCACATTGCTGTGTATACCTAATCTTCTTAATAAAAAAAATCAGTAATAAAGATTTTAAATTATAGTTTGTATTATTACAAATACAGTACTGTATTATCCTTATTAAATCATGTTGACCATGGATCATTAAGATCTCATGTTGATATGTAATACAAGTCATATTTCTTTTGAACTGCTAATCCATGCTAATCATTCATTAAATTGTGCATTATGTCTCAATTTTTCACTTCCTTGGATATACTGTACAGTACAAAAAGATAGGATAAAAATAAACCAGTAATATTTCTTTCATTATATTTTTCATTTAAATAACTGCATCAATATTTTTACAGCTGACAGGATTTGTTTTACCATACAGGTGCATATTTTGTTAAAAAAAATTTGGTTTATTGTTACACACAATGGTGCTACATAGCCTTCCCAGCTTGGTGCCTTCTTTTAATACTTACTGATTAAAAAATAAATAATAAATACATTTTATTCAGGAAAAGTACATACAGTTGATTTACAAACATAATGTTGGATTTATAGACAGAGCTAGTACATACAATACCTAAAGCCACTAATACTCATAGCATTTCGGGCAAGGTGTGGGGGGAAAAAAACACAGACTAAAACTTAATAGCAATCGGGATTAGGTATAAATTGTGTTGAAAGAAGGAATAAAAAATAAAAAAGGGGGGTTAACATAGCATAACTCAGCAATTGCACATGTTGGTGAACAGCGTTGTTTAAAAAATAGCAAGACATGGGTTGACATTTAGGAGGTAAGTTAGGTTACATGGAGTTAATTAGGCAGTACTTGGTTTAACTCTTAAACTGGTTGAGAGAGGTACAGCCTTGACATGATTCGGGAGGTCATTCCTCATTCTGGGTCCCTTGATTTGTAGAGCACTTCTAGTTTGGTTACACACAGCCAAATTGAGTAACAGGAAGAGGTCTTGGACACAAATTTGTTCCATGCTAAATGTAGAGGAATCAGCTGAGTATTCTGAACCTCATATTTCGTTTAGCTAACTAAGTGAAATCTTTAGAACCTAGTTACACACAGTTGTTTGACTGGCATTAGTGCGAAGGTAATTAACAGCTTTATTTCCAATCATTAGTGCACCAAATGCTTTGGTTAGTCTGGTTACATGACTGGTCAGTTACGGTATCAAATTACTCCAGGTGGAGTGATGTAGAGGTGTAGAGTCTTCAGTAGAGGTTCCAGGAGGTGTAGAGTCTTCAGTAGAGGTTCCAGGAGGTGTAGAGTCTTCAGTAGAGGCTCCAGGAGGTGTAGAGTCTTCAGTAGAGGCTCCATGAGGTGTAGAGCCCTCAGTAGAGCTCCAGGAGGTGTAGAGCCCTCAGTAGAGGCTCCAGGAGGTATAGAGCCCTCAGTAGAGGCTCCAGGAGGTGTAGAACCTTCAATAGAGGCTCCAGGAGGTGTAGAACCTTCAATAGAGGCTTCAGGAGGTGTAGGTCGTCAGTAGAGGGGCCCCCATGAGGCTTAGATCTTCAGTCGTAGTAGAGGCAGCACTTGAGGGCAGGAGGCAAGGTATAGTCGAGCCACTCCAGAGAGATGGCCATCATGTGTGGCGGACACTGCAGGCGGGTAAGTACGCCAGTTGTCACGCCGGGCACCCAGCCACTCGTCTCTCCGGGGATCAAGCACCTACTCGTGTCCACCTGTCAAGGGAAGGAGGAGAAGTCAAGATGAACGGTCAAGAAGGTCTCTCTCTCTCTCTCTTAAGTAATTATCAAAGACGGCGCCAAGCCGGGAAGGCTATGTTAGCACCGCGCGGTCTCTCAAAGCTGTTTGTAAGTTCTAAATTGTGAGCAGGAAAGAGAACTTGCGTTCCTTTTTGTTTACTTTTGATGTGTGACCATTTAAGACTGTGGGCTCCCTGTAGAGCCATATGGTGACCATAGAAGACTCTATGGGCCCCTGTAGAGCCATGTAGTGAACATAGAAGACTCTATGGGCCCCTGTAGAGCCATGTAGTGAACATAGAAGACTCTATGGCCCCCTGTAGAGCCATGTAGTGACCATAGAAGACTCTATGGCCCCCTTTAGAGCCATGCAGTGATCATAGAAGACTATGGCCCCCTGTAGAGCCATGTAGTGAACATAGAAGACTCTATGGCCCCCCTGTAGAGCCATGTAATGACCATAGAAGACTATAGGCCCCCTGTAGAGCCATGTAGTGAACATAGAAGACTCTATGGGCCCCTGTAGAGCCATGTAGTGACCATAGAAGACTCTATGGCCCCCTGTAGAGCCATGTCGTGACCATAGAAGACTCTATGGCCCCCTGTAGAGCCATGTCGTGACCATAGAAGACTCTATGGCCCCCTGAAGAGCCATGTAGTGATCATAGAAGACTATGGCCCTCTGTAGTGACCATAGAAGACTCTATGGCCCCCTGTAGTGACCATAGAAGACTTTATGGCCCCCTGTAGTGACCATAGAAGACTCTATGGCCCCCTGTAGTGACCATAGAAGACTCTATGGCCCCCTGTAGAGCCCTCAGTAGAGGCTCCAGGAGCCTCTGGATAGTGACTCACACAGAGGGGGGGGGAGGAAGGAACCCATGTATAGGGCTACGGTACCCGGGTATCGCAATAGACTCACCTTCTGCGTCGACACTATCCCAATAGTCTGGTAGCGGTAGTTAGTTGGCTGAAAGAAGATCTGATTGTCGCACCACACAGCTGTCATCAAGAAGAACTGGCGAGGGAGAATGAGAAATGAGGGAGAGGCCTGTGCTAATGAGACAATATCAACAACAACACTAATAATAATAACATTAATTATAACTACTAAAAACTCATGTCATATATTAGACTCGAGATACAGTGGTCTCACACTGAGGTCTTGGAGGAGCTCGTCCTCCACAATTAAGGTCTTGGAGGAGGTCGTCCTCCACAATTAAGGTCTTGGAGGGACTCGTTCTCCACAATTAAGGTCTTGGAGGGGCTAGTCCTCCACAATTAAGGTCTTGGAGGAGCTCGTCTTCCACAGTAAAGGTCTTGGAGGAGCTCGTCCTCCACAGTTAAGGTCTTGGAGGGGCTCGTTCTCCACAATTAAGGTCTTGGAGGGGCTAGTCCTCCACAATTAAGGTCTTGGAGGAGCTCGTCTTCCACAGTAAAGGTCTTGGAGGAGCTCGTCCTCCACAGTTAAGGTCTTGGAGGAGCTCGTCCTCCACAGTTAAGGTCTTGGAGGGGCTAATCCTCCACAATTAAGGTCTTGGGGGAGCTCGTCCTCCACATTTAAGGTCTTGGAGGAGCTCGTCCTCCACATTTAAGGTCTTGGAGGAGCTCGTCCTCCACATTTAAGGTCTTGGAGGAGCTCGTCCTCCACAGTTAAGGTCTTGGAGGGGCTCGTCCTCCACAGTTAAGGTCTTGGAGGAGCTCGTCCTCCACAGTTAAGGTCTTGGAGGAGCTCGTCCTCCACATTTAAGGTCTTGGAGGAGCTCGTCCTCCACAGTTAAGGTCTTGGAGGGGCTCGTCCTCTACAGTTAAGGTCTTGGAGGAGCTCGTCCTCCACAGTTAAGGTCTTAGAGAGGGGCTCGTCCTCCACAGTTAAGGTCTTAGAGAGGGGCTCGTCCTCCACAGTTAAGGTCTTGGAGGGGCTCGTCCTCCACATTTAAGGTCTTGGAGGGGCTCGTCCTCCACATTTAAGGTCTTGGAGGGGCTCGTCCTCCACATTTAAGGTCTTGGAGGGGCTCGTCCTCCACATTTAAGGTCTTGGAGGGGCTCGTCCTCCACATTTAAGGTCTTGGAGGGGCTCGTCCTCCACATTTAATGTCTTGGAGGAGCTCGTCCTCCACAGTTAATGTCTTGGAGGACGAGACTATCCGTAAGCTATATAAGCCACGGCGAGAGACTCTTAAATATAATGGTGTTAATTTGGATCATCGGAGAGTGACACTTGGGCCTCGAATATTACAAGCCCGCATGATGACCGAACCACACTGTCAGAAAACAAAGGAACTACGACGTTTCTGGTTACGTCGTCGTTCGGTCGTTCTGGTTACGCCGTCCTATGGCCAGATTCACGAAAGCACTTACGCAAACACTTACGAACCTGTACATCTTTTCTCAATTTTTGGCGGCTTTGTTTACAATTATTAAACAGTTAATGAGCTCCGAAGCACCAGGAGGCTGTTTATAACAATAACAACAGTCGAATGGGAAGTTTTCATGCTTGTAAACTGTTTAATAAATGTAACCAAAGCCGTCAAAGATTGAGGAAAGATGTACACGTTCGTAAGTGTTTGCGTAAGTGCTTTCGTGAATCTGGCCCCTGGACCATTATCACCACGACACAAGGTCGTATGGTGTATCAGTGTGTTGTAATACACAGTATCCTTACACTGTGTATTACAATACAGTGTGTAGGAAATACTTGAAAAAACTATCGTCTTTTATTTGCTGATGTAATGGATTTTTCCTGGAACTCACGCTAGTCAGGTTTTATGTCTAAACTCAAGGACTGATTATAAGATTTAGTGTCCAGTTTAATGTCTAGACTCTAGCACCCATAAGGATCTAGGGCCTGATGTCACGTCTTTACGTTTCTAAGACAATATACAGATCAGGTATGTTATGCTGGAAATTAGTGAACTGTGGAAGCCTTCTTACTAAGAGCTTATGTAAGAACCTGGGGGCCAGATTCACGAAAGCACTTACGCAAGCACTTACGAACGTGTACATCTTTCCTCAATCTTTGACGGCTTTGGTTACATTTATTAAACAGTTTACAAGCATGAAAACTTCCCAATCAACTGTTGTTATTGTTATAAACAGCCTCCTGGTGCTTCGGAGCTCATTAACTGTTTAATAATTGTAAACAAAGCCGCCAAAGATTGAGAAAAGATGTACAGGTTCGTAAGTGCTTTCGTGAATCTGGCCCCTGACCCACTTTCCATTCTATAAACCTGTGTAATAATTTCTTATGTTCCTGGGTAGTGTTATTTTCTGATAGCTTATATCTCCAAGGTGCCTAAAGGCTGAGGGGACTTATGGAACATTGTGTCACAGCTTGAGGTAAGGTGAAGGCAGTCTTCAGGGACCTTGAAGACGTCTTCCCGACGTCTTCAAGGTCGGGAAGGTCTTAGAGGGGCTCGTGACACCTCAGACACCAATTGCCTCAGACACCTTGCCTCAGACACCAATTCAATGGTGTCTGAGGCACCAATTCAGTGGTGCCTCAGACACCTTTGAATTGGTGTCTGAGGCAAGCTTCCCTAAGCTGTCTGAGGCAAGCTTCCCTAAGCTGTCTGAGGCAATGGTTCAAGCAAAGGTTGAGGGTAATAATAGCCATTTTTTATACATGAGTAACATAAGTAATCGGAAAATAACACTTACCATCCCAGGAATAAGAATTGTTTTACACTGTGTAATTCCGTCATTAATCCAAATTCTGAATCATTTCCACATTATCCTGTAGATAAAATAATTAAACTCTGATCAGCCTCCTCGCTTCCTTCCCGAAATCATACCTGGACCTACTTCCCTTACCTCTCTTCCTTAAAATAATCATGACCCACTTTTCCTTACAGGCCTTTCTTGCATTGTCTAACGACAAAATATGCTTTAAGGTCAAGGGGCAAGATTCACGAAAGCACTTACGCAAACACTTACGAACGTGTACATCTTTCCTCAATCTTAGACGGCTTTGGTTACATTTATTAAACAGTTTACAAGCATGAAAACTTCCCATTCAACTGTTGTTCTTGTTATAAACAGCCTCCTGGTGCTTCGGAGCTCATTAACTGTGTAATAATTGAAAACAAAACCGGCAAAGAGTGAGAAAAAATGTACAAGTCCGTAAGTGTTTGCGTAAGTGCTTTCGTGAATCTGGCCCAAGACCCTTTCGCCACCTACCCACTTGAGGCCCTTGTCGTTGCAGCTGGTGGTCTGATGGACACACCCCACAGTGTAGTCCAGAGTGAGGCCGGGCGGGTGTGTACACACCAGGTAGTCCAGCTCCGTCAAGGTGGAGGCAGAGGCCACACCCACCACGACGCCCCCGGGCCTGGGGCACTCTAGGAGCCAGTGGTCGATACCTGCAGGCTGTGTTCCATAGCACGTCGAGCAGGGGTACTGCAGGACCACCGAAGACCGCTCTATATCTGAGCACCACCAGGGGGGAACACAGAGAGACTCTATGTTAGCGTTAGAATACACACATCTAGATGTTTATTGTCACTTGAGACAGAACCCTTCAGAATGTTGTCAACTTGTTCAATTGTGAAGTTGTTGAAATTTACCTGTGCTCAATTTTGAAGTTGCCAATGACTCAGTAACTCTTCTGCCTGGGTAACTCTTTCATTATACTATGATTGGATGAAGTATCAGGGAAAATTATTTTGATTCAGTCAACGTTAATGAAAAAATTACCATATCTATATCTATAAAATATAATATTCCGATCTCCCTCTGACACTATCCATATATTCATAGATCACAGTGGAAAGTTGCAAGAGCGTAACTGCAAGTGTTTGGCGGCCAGGGGCCAGATTCACGAAGCAGTTACGGCAAGTACTTACGAACGTGTACATCTTTCCTCAATCTTTGACGGCTTTGGTTACATTTATTAAACAGTTTACAAGCATAAAAACTTCCCAATCAACTGTTGTTATTGTTATAAACAGCCTCCAGGTGCTTCGGAGCTCATTAACTGTTTAATAATTGTAAACAAAGCCGTCAAAGATTGAGGAAAGATGTTCACGTTCGTAAGTACTTGCATAACTGCTTCGTGAATCTAGCCCCAGGGCATTAGTCAAGAAAGATGGCGTCTTACCTGGGCCACTGAGGATGACTGTGTTAGTCAAGAAAGATGGCGTCTTACCTGGGACATAGATGGAGGAAGTAGGATCGGCCACGACCTGCCTGAGAGAGGAGACCAGCTGACAGGAGGTGCCCATCCAGTTGACACCAAGACAGCTCGGGTCTGGGGACATGACACAGACTCTCAAAATCCGCCCAAGTGAGTAAGACAATGCATACAATATCTACAACTTGTTATATATATAAAAAACCTGCCTATTTATAATCATATGAACCCCCCCCAACAAGTCGTTAAACCATTGAATTGGTTACAGTGTTGCTTTTAATTTAAATTCGTCGGGTTGTACTGGAAGGGTCGTTACCACTTAGTCACTGCTGCCAAGCAACGTTTGGTAATAAACAATTATTGAAAGCTGTAAATTATATAAATGATGAGGCAAAAACATTATGTTGACCTCATGTGTGTGTGGAATATTGTAGTCTTCGCTGACTGGGTTACCACTTCCTCCCATGTGGCATGTTGGGATGTTCCTCCATCCCAGGAGAGGGCTTGATGGGACGTCTTTTCCCTACTTGCAGGGATTGCCATCCCTCCTAGGGGGGTGTGTCGGGCTGTCCCTTCCCCCAGGGGTTTGTTGGGCTCTCCCTTCCTCCCAGAAGGCATGCTGGAATGTCCATCTCAGGAGGCTTGCTGGGATATCCCAGCTAAGGTATCCCAGCTTATCAGGTATGTCTCAAACACCCTGGAAGGACGTTTGAGTCTTCAAGCAATTGTTCGCCATTAGTCAGTAGATCTTTGTTTTCAATCGTTTTCAATCATATAAATGCCTTTAGCGGGATATTTCGTTCTTCTCGACGTGGTGGACAGACAGACAGACAGACAGACGCCCAAGTCAACTCGTGGACCTCTGTCAGAACAATCAAGTACGTGTCACACTCACTGGCCAGACAGGCGCCGACGCAGAAGGTGAGGGTAGGGCAAGGGAAGGAGGCGCTGACGTTGAGGCATCGCGTGCCCGATTCGCCCAGGACGAAGGATTCCATCTGGCCGCCCTCCACCAACAAGACAGCCATCGCCGCCAACACACACGCCACCACGGCCCGCTGCTGGCCCGCACGAACCCTCGCCACCATAGCTGTAACATACAAGGCATTATATGCAGGCGAGGAGTCACAATAACGTGGCTAAATTATGTTGACCAGACCACACACTAGAAGGTGAAGGGACGACGACGTTTCGGTTCGTCCTGGACCATTTTCAAGTTGATCGACTTGAGAATGGTCCAGGACGGACCGAAACGTCGTCGTCCCTTCACCCTCTTAGTGTGTGGTCTGGTCAAGGCATTAAATCTAAACATTATGGAAACAAGGACACAAACGCATGGAAATATTGGCATACTTAGAGGAAAAAAACTAAAAAATATATACTTAAAAAAATATAAAAAAAATATAAATATTTAAAAAAAATATAATTAAACAAAAATTGAGTTTCATTTTTTCAATCTATTAGAATTGGTGTACCAGGTGACTTTATTGTTGTTCTGACTTCTCGATGGGTAGTGTCCAGTCTTGGGGTGGGACTCTTGCTGGTTTCAGTTGAATTGGGAGGCAATGTTGGGGTGTGGGCGGAGATGTGTGAATGAGCAGGGACTTGGGGGGGTATCATTGGGGCAGTGAGCTGGAGTACCGTTGGTAACTTGTCTCAGGTTCTGGCGTACCTTTGGTACCTGTTGTCTCAGGTACTGGAGTACCTTTGGTATCTGTTGTCTCGCTCTCCGGCGAGATCCGCCTTCAAACTCAACAAAACGAATCAAAATTGGCAGAAACACCCAAAGGACAGAAACGACAAATGTCAATAAAATAGGAAGACTGAAATGGTGAAGTGCCTCTACCAAACTGAACCTCAAGGCTAAGGAGAACCTACTTGAAAATGGTGAAGTGTCGCTTCTAAATGTTGAACCTGAAAGATTAGAACCTACTTGGGAATGCAGCCTGTCTTCCAAACAAAGACCCAAAAGTGATTCCATGCATCCGCCAAACCCCCTGTTTATGAATGAAAACGGTCTACACACGACTCACAACTAATGACGTTCGAACAGTTCAGGAACAAGTGCTTCACTGCAGCCCGTCCTCCAAACAAAGATCCAAAAGTGATTCCATGCACCCGCCAAACCCCCTGTTTATGAATGAAAAGCGGTTTACACACGACTCACAACTGCTGACGTTCGAACATATCCGGAACAAGTGCTTCACTGACGAATTTTGTTCGAATCACAACGCTATAAATGCTTCACCCACGTACTACAAATACAAATAATCGCCAACAGAACCTAAACACCTGACCTAACCTATCCTATGCCTATATATGCACAATATGCTAATATATTATAATATTAATTTATACTTGAGAAAATTCCCGTTTTGAATGAACAGCATGTTAAAATTTATGACTGCGTCTGTGGGGTTGACCGCTGGATGGAATGGATTTAAGTCGAGGACGGGTTGTTCACTGACGAATTTTGTTCGAATCACACCGCTATAAAGGCCTCACCCACGTACTACAAATACAAATAATCGCCAACAGAACCTAAACACCTAACCTATGCCTATAAATGCACAATATGCTAATATATTATAATATTAATTTATATATGAGAAAATTCCAGTTTGGAATGAACAGTATGTACAACTTTATGAATGCGTCTGTGGGGTCGACCGCTGGATGTAACGGACTTGAGTCGAGAACGGGTTGTGGGAATGACCTGAAGCCTCACCTGGAGCCACATTTACCTGTCATTACCGGGGCAGTTGGTGTATAGAGCGAGCGCGAGGTACCGCGGTAGCTGAGGAAGGAATCACGTGTGTCCGCGAGTTAGTGCAGCGAGCGTATGACGCCACCTCGAGCGTTTCTTGTTTTTGAAAGGAACATCGACCCACGGTGAGGTATAATTTTTTGTCTATGGCCGTTTACCTGTTCAATCCAGCCACAACTGCATGTATTGATTTGTATAAATCACTTAAAAATTAAGTTTTAAAATCTAAGTCTAAATCTTGATCATATCGTATATAGTTATAATAAATATATTATTATACTTACATTCCACCCGTCGGGGCGCGCCCCCACCCGTCGGCGCGCATTCTTACCCATCGGCGCGCGTCCTCACCAGTCGGCTCCAGGAAATGTAGGTCTTCAGTTGAGGCTCCAGGAGGTGTAGAGTCTTCAGTAGAGGCTCCAGGAGGTGTAGAGTCTTCAGTAGAGGCTCCAGAAGGTGTAGAGTCTTCAGTAGAGGCTCCAGGAAGTGTAGAGTCTTCAGTAGAGGCTCCAGTAGGTGTAGAGTCTTCAGTAGAGGCTCCAGAAGGTGTAGAGCCTTATAGTAGAGGCTCCAGGAGGTGTAGAGCCCTCAGTAGAGGCTCTAGCACGTGTAGGTCTTCAGTAGAGGCAAAAATGTTCTCAACGATAACTTGTCGTGACCTGTGGAATCACACAATTGCCGTGTGACTTAAGAAGGAAAAAATATAAGTTCGTGCTAACCGAGTCAGTTTTGCCACATATTAATATCAATGTTGATACTCGAGGAGTTATTTTCTCATAAAAAGTTGATGTTAAAGACTGAATAATGTACAACGCCTTGTGAGGTTTATAGAGTAATAAGAGTCCTCCCCTAGTACGGTTGAGCCAGTCCGCTTGCCCTGCCCCCACGACGCATGCCAGCCGCTCGGTTTAATATGTAAAGAAAATCTTAACAAAATGCATTGAGCAGCTGTGAATATATCATGAGCACAGACAGGTAGTTCAGTTAAAAGACGATTTATCATGTTTTGTGGCTCGCATGAGGAAGCGCTGGAGTGACTCGTGTGAGGTAGCTTGACTCACAACACCTGGTGTGTGAAGCAGCTTGCTTGACTCACCACACCTGGTGTGTGAGGCAGCTTGACTCACAACACCTGTTGTGTGAGGTAGCTTGACTCACAGCACCTGTTGTGTGATACAGCTTGCTTGACTCACAGCACCTGGTGTGTGAGGCAGCTTGACTCACAACACCTGGTGTGTGAGGCAGCTTGACTCACAGCACCTGGTGTGTGAGGCAGCTTGACTCACAACACCTGGTGTGTGAGGCAGCTTGACTCACAGCACCTGGTGTGTGAGGCAGCTTGACTCACAACACCTGGTGTGTGAGGCAGCTTGACTCACAGCACCTGCTGTGTGAAGCAGCCTGACTCACAAAGCATGTCTTATTGCTTTAGTGGTCAGGATACTACACCTTGGATTCTGACGTTTTTATAACATACACTCAAAAATGGAATTTACTACAATATGGTAAAATGGAATACCACGTTGTGAATGAGATCATATATATATATATATATATATATATATATATATATATATATATATATATATATATATATATATATATATATATACCTGTATATATATTGCGTTCGTGCCTCGCAGGAGTAGGCTAATAGGCCTACTGTAGTTTACTTTATTCACAAATGTCATTTGTAATTGAAATATTAAGATATAAATACACACAAAGGGATGAGGTGTTTATGTAGTTAATCATACAGAGACTTAAATCTACAATAAATACATTAACTTAGATTATTTCTCCACGAAATATATCCTCTTCATTTTCTCACAAATTTCTCAAGTCTTGGAACCACTCCCAAATATTAAAGCTCCTTTGCTTCGTTTTGTATCTATATAAAAATGTTCAAGTCAATGTTGAAAGAGCATTTAATTAATCAGCTGCACGTAGACAGAGCAACTCCTCTCCTGTTGATTGTCTCAGCGTGAAACAATTTATGTCCTATGATCTGGTACACGGCGTCTGTATTCATGGCCTCAGACATTCACTATGGCTGTCATCAGATGAATGAATAACTGTCTCTTATTCATTTAATCACTGTCTAATAAATTTATAACTGAAGCCGGGGCAGGGCTATATATATATATGTCCTTGTATGCATGGCTACCATTCGCAAATGCTAGGCTGCCTGATGCATATTATGTACGCTAGGCTGCCTGATGCATATTATGTATGCTAGGCTGCCTGATGAATGCTATTGTCATTATATTCATCCTATAGGGTCCAGAACCCCCCATAGTTACCTATTACTAGTTCAGAGACTGGAAAGTATTTACACGTGCGGTATATACAACACTCCCCGATAGGAAGAAAACCCGCTGGGTTGTTCATCCTGTCACTTGTACCCAGACACAGCTGGGACTTGCTTATGACTGTTTCATGTAAACAGCTCCTTAAACAAGAAGATTTAACTTTTATCAACCCTTAAAAACTTACGTTATCTTGCGGGTGCAAAATGGGGGAATCTTTTGAGAACAGCATTTATATATGACAGATAGTATTTTCCTAACTCATACAATGTGTGGGGTTTACTATGCTACACATATTCTTATGGTAATGTCTCTTAGATGTCCACATTCTCTTGGGTAGTGGTCTAGGCCATGTCCATTACTCACCAAAAATTCTGCAACTCCGCTGCTCAGCTGTTATTTGCTTATTATTCATATAGAGACAAAAAAAGAGCAAATCTGCAACATTCATAGATGAATTGATCAATGCATAGCAAAGTTTTTTTTTTTAAATTAATGGAATGTGTTGAAGGTAGCGGAAGCCGAGGAAAACGAGGCATATATATATATATATATATATATATATATATATATATATATATATATATATATATATATATATATATATATATATATATATATATATATATAGTCAGGATTCAACAAGCCCTTACGCAGGTAATTATAAATCTGTACATCTCTCAATCTTTGGCGGCTTTGCTTACATATATTAAACAGTTATCGAGTATCGAAGCTTCCCAATCAAATGTTATCGTTGTTATAAACATTCTACTGGTGCTTCGGAGCTCATAAACTGTCTAATCACAAATACAACACAAAATAACTCGGCAAAGATCTAGATAAGCTGTACTACAGGTTTGTAAGGCAAGTACTACAGTACTTGCCTAACTGATTGATGTCCCTAGATCCAAGTCATGACTTGACATCACTAGATTCACCAGACCGCCACTGACATCACTATAGAGACACCGTGAATGACGTCCTGTAACATATGGCCTTGAGAGTCGCTCGAACAACCTCTCCATTACCTGGAATTATCCTTTGTTGTGTTGCTTTTGTTTGCTGTATCAGCGACAGAAGCCGCCATGACCTTGCAGAGCGCAAATGTTCTCTGGTTCGTCAATGGTCTATTGTTCCTCAATGTTCTGTTGTTCAGCGTAACTGATTCTGGTTTATGTTAGGCTTTGGGGATTCTCGATGTTCAACTCCTGTATATCCTGGAGCAAGTGAGGGGCTTGGCTTTCCCTAAGACTGTCCATATTCTTTTAAAAAAACAAAAAAATAAACACTTAAAACAATTTAGAGTGTTTTAAGTCTAATTATATATAAAAATGTATGAATCAATGTATATACGAGTGTGTATGTTAGCTGCGAAGAATTACAATTCTTGTCCAAAATGGGAGTAGGAGGACATGACGTATATAGAAAGTCTGTAATAATGAGTAATTGGTGGGTTAGCGTTGTATGTCGGAGGACCAGTCTTTGAGGTCTGCCCGCCTCAGTCTTGAGCAGTCTTACGTAGGGTGAGGACTGTGCTGCCGGCCTGAGCATTCTTATACCTGGGGGTGAGCACTGTGCACCATCTCTTCTTGTACAAACTTCTTGGTATATCTTATATATTTATATTCATATTGAAAATGCATCTGGTGAGTTTAATTCCTTTGTCCAACTATATTAGTTTGCGTGTAAATCTTCTTATCGCGAACTCCACCCTTTATTTTAAACGTGTAAAACATATATAATGTGTTTACAAATAACCTCTATGGCACTCTGTAACGTAAACAATGTCTAGTCGTATTTACAAATGGATTTTCATTTTTTTTTTTTTAGCATTTAAAAAAAAAAAAAAGATCTTGCATGGGGATTTTATCAAGATGTTATGGAATACCGTTCTTTAACTCCAGAGTATGGGCTCGGCGTCTTGTGTGATGGTGATGGTGATGGTGGTGGTGATGGTGAAAGGCTTGAGTATGGACGCAGAGGCCGCAGGCAGCCTCGTCCCTTTCCAATATACGCGTAGGTCTGTCCTTGATCAGAAGGGCAGGTACGTGGTCATGTGGGCGCCCAGAGAGAAGGATATCATCTTCGAAGTTCAGGTCAGTTTGGAGAAATTTCTTCGAGTGTCTCTTTGACCCGAAGATGTACTACTTCGAGTGTGTGTCTTACCCTAAGACGCGCTACTTCGAGTGTGTCTCACCCTAAGATGCACTACTTCGAGTGTGTGTCTTACCCTAAGGTGCACTACTTCGAGTGTGTCTTACCCTAAGACGCAGTACTTCGAGTGTGTCTTACCCTAAGATGCACTACTTCGAGTGTGTCTTACCCTAAGACGCACTACTTCAAGTGTGACTTACCCTAAGACGCACTACTTCGAGTGTGTCTCACCCTAAGCCGGACTACTTCGAGTGTGTCTTAGAGTGGGGCGTGTCTAAGGGGGCGAGGTGTGAGCGTTTCGGCTCTCTTTCCATGAACTTAAACTGAAGTCTGTATAAAGAGCTCCTGGTGCTAAAATTGAATTATTGTGATTCTACCTGATGGTGAAAATATTGTGTGCGCGTGTTATGATCAATGGCCTGTAAGGCTCATCTTTCTGCTGCAGGTGGCGACGAAGGGGTACGTGGGCCTCGGGTTCTCCTCCAACGGCGGGATGAAGGGCGCCGACATCGTGCTGGGCTGGGTGGACGACTCCGGAAAGGTCTTCCTGCATGTAAGTGTAGTCAGAGAGGCACGCCCTTTGCCTGTGGGTGTAGCCCCACACTACTGCCGGGAAAACGGTGTATGTACACTGTGAATCTTCTATATTAACTCCGGCATACTTGTCGCCAGGACCGGCACGCCACGGGGTACGCGGTACCGGTCATCGACGAGTCCCAGGACGTGACGCTGCTGGGAGGGTACCAGAACGACACCCACACAGTGGTGAGGTTCTCCCGCCCCTGGACCACCTGCGACACTCTCTCAGACCTCCAGCTGGCCGTGAGTCGTCCTCGTCATCATCACACGATCACCCTAGTTCATTATACGGTTTGGGTCCTCTGGTAGGTTAGGATAAGGGCACTTTAGTACGATAGTTTCTTGACGGTGGGGAACCATAGGAGGACGGGCTGGCGAGTCCCTGTCCGTGTTTACCATCTAGTGGACCCACAGGCAGGGCAGGGGGGGGGGGACTCATGCATTAAACAGCGGGGGGAAGAAGACCCTGTTGAGTTTGACTTTTTTTATCACTCTTTATAGCTATATTACAAAAAAGTAAGACGTGTGTGTTATAACTTACAAATTGAGTACGAAACCTGACTTAACAAATAAAAAAAACGGTGAATCTGAAATGTAACATTTTAAATGAGGGGGGGGAGGACTAAAATATATTCCAACTTAACCCAATATAGGGCTAAGCTAGAAATGACATAGACCTGACTTAAAACTATTTTACAGTAGGATTAGGCTAGGCCTAGAATAGTTAAAGTAGAGTTTTGGGTCCTACTACTACCCTCCTCCTCCTCCTTGCCCTGCCCTCAGGACGAGACGGTGAAGCTGATCTGGGCCTTCTCCTCCGAGGACCCGAAGGACGAGATGACGATGAAGAAACACAGCGAGCGAGGGACGAAGAGCGTCCTCTTACAGTCTCCCGAGCTCGTCTTCCCGACCCCTGAGGGGGACGTGAAGGCCTGGGACCTCCTCTCTCCCAACGTGTGTATATGTGCCAAGCTTCTTCCTCTTAAACTTCGGGCTCACCATAGCCCGTGCTACTTGCCCCGCTCCTGTGCCAGGTAAGTTACGGGCTCACCATAGACCGTGCTACTTGGAACTTGTTCCGAGTAGCTGAATCTATAACAACAACAACTCTTAAGCTTGGGCTGGACGGTAGAGCGATGGTCTCGCTTCATGCAGGTCAGGGCGTTCAATCCCCGACCGTCCAAGTGGTTGGCCACCATTCCTTTCCCCCCGTCCCATCCCAAATCCTTATCCTGACCCCCCTTCCCAATGTTATACAGTCGCGATGGTTTGGCGCTTTCACCTGATAATTCCCTCTTAAGCTTTAGGATGTCGTCAAAAGTTGGACAATTTTATTTCATTCTGCTTGAAAATTTTCGAAGAATTTTTTGAAGTCTTTTTATTGATTCGTTGGCGAGATTCTCATGATATCTTCTGGCTCTCGATTCATGGCATGCAAAGGCTTTGGAAAATAAAATATATCATTTTATTCTTTGTACCTGTTTAAGATTCAGCTACTGGGAACTAAAAGTTCCAAGTAGCACGGGCTATGGTGAGCCCGTAGTGCCTTCTCTTTGTACCTGCCATGTGTGAATTAACTCAAAAATCAACAGATATATATAAATTATTATAATACCGTCCTCTTTACACTGTCGATTGCTTCAAATATTTTGAAAGAGAATAAGTGTAAATTGTTAAGCATGTTCAGGACTCAGTAAAGATATATATATTTTTTTCGTTTCGTCTTAAGACTTGTTCCACGCACCTCAGGTTAGTCTGCCCAACGACCTGCCGACCCTGTACTGGTGCAGCGTGGTCAAGATCCCGCCCCTCGCCTCCAAAGCCCAAGCCATTGGGGTGAGTATGGATATAAGAATTTTGCACCAAGACTGTAATCTTTTGTTGACCATACCACACACTAGAAGGTGAAGGGATGTTTCGGCCCGTCCTGTTCAAGTTCAAGTATGTTTATTGAGACAAGAAAGAAATACATCTCAAAGGGATAGAGTAGCTTAGGCCTATTTCTACCCCCCCCCCCCGGTCCGTCCTGGACCGTTCTCAATCGACTTGAGAATGGTCCAGGACGGACCGAAACGTCGTCGTCCTTTCACCTTCTAGTGTGTGTGGTCTGGTCAACATACTTCAGCCACGTTATTGTGACTCATCGCCTGCACTGTAACCTTTTGTTGAATTATCTGCATGTCTCTTGCAAATTGTCTATACAGTATACCTAAGTCATAAAAGTATTTGTGTGTACGTCTGATACCATACTACTTGTGTAAAGTAGGAAATGTATATGTTTATCTCTCAGAATGTTCGGCAAAATGTTTATTGTTTGTGATGTGTGTCTATATATATATATGAACACGTTGCACTGACCGGGGTGAGAATAGCTTGAGCTACCTCATCCCTTTTTGTGTATTTTACCTCAATAAACATAAATGTCTTGCCTCAGTGATCAATGCCTTGCCTCAGTGATCAATGTCTTGCCACAGTGATCAATGTCTTGCCACAGTGATCAATGAATATATATGCCTCAGTGATCAATGTCTCGCCTCAATGATCAATGTCTCGCCTCAATGATCAATGTCTCGCCTCAGTGATCAATGTCTCGCCTCAATGATCAATGTCTAGCCTCACAAGGTTCACGGGAGATAAGGGGTACGGGAGATAAGGGGTACGGAAATACCTTTTTTCAGGTCATACCACTGATCGAGGAGAAGAACGTGCAGCACGTGCATCACATCCTGGTGTACGAGTGCCACGTGCCTGAGAGTGCCAGGCACTTCGAGAAGTGGGTGGGCGTGCCGGGCCTGCAGTGCTACGGCCCCAACATGCCAGTGTCCTGGACCTACTGTGGCACTCCGGTCTTCACTTGGGGCATCGGTGGGGAAGGTGAGTGCCACCAGTGCCACCAGTGCCTCGTATTTTGGTCCGCTATGGTCCTTAACGGGCGCAATACGGGGTACTATGAAGATTACGGGCTATTCATGCCCGTGCTACCTCTTGGGTGGCTTAATCTTTATCAGTCATCAATCAATCTACTATGGAGAGTAAAAGCGAACACATATTCGCTTTTTCTTTGCGGTGGTAGGTTGGGTTAGGTGGGTGGGTTGGGTTGGTGTGTTTAAGTACCCAAGAGGACGAGCTGTTATACGGCTGGAGCTCTAAGTCAAGATTCAACAAGCATTTACGAAACCTGTACATCTTTCCTTAAATCTTCAGGTTTAAGAACATAATAATAATAAAATAGAAGGCTTATTAGTCCATTCGAGGCACCTCCTAACCCAAATCTTGCCTATATATTTTTTTTATTCGTCTAGCCTACGCTTGAAACAATCAAGTGAACCCACGGCAATTATGTTACGCAGTAATTTAGTCTTTAGTTCAACCACCCTATTTTCAGTGTAATAATCTCCGTTGAGGTCTGATAAAGACCTTTTGTGCCCTCTGTAATTATTTTTTGCGCTACCGCTCACAGGATGCGTATGGGGTGCACAATAAACTACCAGACAATCAAACCCAATTTCCAAACCATTATTTACCCAGGACCTTCCTGAATGTACACTTAGCCAATTTATATCCACTGTATCGTATTGTATTTTGTGTCGATATATTTATTACATCTTTAGTAATTTCCCTTTAATCCATCTGTATACTTGAGTCATGTCATGCCGGTCGCCGGTCGGCCGAGCGGACAGCACGCTGGACTTGTGATCCTGTGGTCCTGGGTTCGATCCCAGGCGCCGGCGAGAAACAATGGGCAGAGTTTCTTTCACCCTATGCCCCCCGTTACCTAGCAGTAAAATAGGTACTTGGGTGTTAGTCAGCTGTCACGGGCTGCTTCCTGGGGGTGGAGGCCTGGTCGAGGACCGGGGCTGCGGGGACACTAAAACGCCCCGAAATCATCTCAAGATAACCTCAAGATAGATGCCATACACTGAGTCATGTCATGCCATACACTGCAGTATGTTATACAGACAGACCCGAGTGACTGTGTATAATAAATCCTTAACTTCAAATGTCTTTTTATTTTCTTGTACAGGCGATTTATATCCGGAAAACGTGGGTCTTCCCCTGGGGGAGGAGAACGGAGGAGCCACCTATTTCTTGAAGGAAATTCATTATGACAATCCTGACCTCAAGCAAGGTGAGGAGGGGATGGGGTCTACTTCCCAGTAGTTGATCTTAAAACCATTACGTCCTTTCCCCTTCAAATTTGGTATCTTGTGATTATATCAGATTAATCCCTGCACCAGGTCAGGCACAAACTATACCCATTACAACAGAACAAATATTATAACATTACATTACAACAGTTCCTGAGGTCATAGCTTGTTCAGGATTGTTCAGGCTATCCTGAGGAGGATATCTAGTTCATAATTATGCAACAATAGAGCACTCTGCAATACAATTATTCACTCCATTGCTTCACCTCAATGGTGCAGGTCACTTGCAAGTGCAATGCAATGCTTTGATTGGTGCTCTTAGCCTTTCTCATTGATTACAGTCTAATTGAACACTTCGTGTATGGTTTGTTCAACTAGCCTGATCTGACGTAACCTAACCTGACTTAACCTAACCAAGCCTAGCCTAACCTATCCTAACCTAACCTAACCTAACTTGACTTAACCTAACCAAGCCTAGCCTAACCTAACGTAGCCTAGCCTATTCTGACATAACCGAAGCTCTTACCACTCCCGTACAGATATCGTGGACGCCTCGGGTCTACGCGTCTTGTATACGGAGACGCCGAGAGAGTACGACGCCGGGGTGTTGACCATTGGCCACTCCATCAGCCCCTTGCTGGTCGTGCCTCCTGGAACACACTGGCTCACTGTGGGCATCTGTCACCCCGACTGTACCCAACAGGTACACCATTCATGCACATGTTCCAACACTTGTATCTACACCTGTACCTCGACATATTCTTTTGTAACGGTGCATGTACCAGCCACATGTACCTCTGTGTGAGCAGCTTCCAGGGGGGACAGATGTTCTAAGCCTGAACCTTTCTGTCCTGGTGCCAGGGGCTGCCTGAAGGTGGAGTGAAGGTGTTCGAGGTGTTGCTTCACTCACACATGCTGGGGTCCAAGATGAAGATCCGTCAGGTTAGGCAGAACCAGGAGCTGCAACCACTCGTGAGAGGTGAGAGAAAGGTCACCCCTTCCCCTCCTCTATCTCTCTCTCTCTCTCTCTCTCTCTCTCTTTCTCTTTCTCTTTCTCTCTCTCTCTCTCTCTCTCTCTCTCTCTCTCTCTCTCTCTCTCTCTCTCTCTCTCTCTCTCTCTCTCTCTCTCTCTCTCTCTCTCTCTCTCTCTCATTAACGAAGCCTAAGCCCTATTGATTTCCCCTACCTCCCCACAGACCTGAACTACGACTTCAACTACCAACACTCGCGGTCTGTGAACAACGTCAGTATTCTCCCAGGGGACATACTCATCCTCGAGTGTGAGTACGACTCCACCACCCGCGACTTCACCACCTTCGTGAGTAGCGTTATCTTGCGGTTATCTTGAGATGATTTCGGAGCTTTAGTGTCCCCGCAGCCCGGTCCTCAACCAGGCCTCCACCCCCTAGGAGGCAGCCCGTAGCAGCTGTCTAACTCCCAGGTACCTATTTACTGCTAGGTAACAGAGGGCATCAGGGTGAAAGGAACATTTTGCGCGTCACGGAGAGCGTGTGGAGGGCTGGTCTGAGTCTGGCCAGGCTATAGACCCTTGAAAACACGCTAGTTGATTTATGCAACAAATTACCAGGGGGAAAATATTACTGAATATTTAATAATACAATATTATTACCAGGGCGTGGGCTCGCTGGATTGTTTCCGGCGTAGGTTAGACATATATATATTATCTAAATGAATTTAGGAGCTGTTTCGTATATATATATGTGTCTGTATAGGCCTTCTGTAGTTTATTTTAAGACTGTTGTTGTGTGAGTGTCATCTGCCTGCAGATCATCATACAGTGTCATCTGCCTACAGGATCATCATCATACAGTGTCATCTCAAGATATCTTTTCTCTCACTCCCCCCCCCCCCCTCCTCCTCCAGGGTGGGTTTGGCACAGAGGAGGAGATGTGCCTGGCCTTCCTGACCTACTACCCTCGGAGCCCGTTAGCTGTGTGCTTCTCTATGCCTCACATCAAGGACATCCTCGAGGGCGTCGGCGTTGACGACACCTATGACAATCGCGTGCAGATGTGAGTTGGAGATTTGGCCCGGTTGCCCTTTTATTTTTTTATCCTGGTGGAAGGTGTGTGTGTGTGTGTGTGTGTGTGTGTGTGTGTGTGTGTGTGTGTGTGTGTGTGTGTGTGTGTGTGTGTGTGTGTGTGTAATTACCTAAGTGTAGTTACAGGATGAGAGCTACGCTCGTGGTGTCCCGTCTTCCCAGCACTCTTTGTCATATAACGCTTTGAAACTACTGACGGTCTTGGCCTCCACCACTTTCTCACTTAACTTGTTCCAACCGTCTACCACTCTATTTGTGTACTCACCTAGTTACTCACCTAGTTGTGTTTGCGGGGGTTGAGCTCTGGCTCTTTGGTCCCGCCTCTCAACCGTCAATCAACAGGTGTACAGATTCCTGAGCCTATCGGGCTCTGTCATATCTACACTTGAAACTGTGTATGGAGTCAGCCTCCACCACATCACCCCCTAATGCATTCCATTTGTCAACCACTCTGATACTAAAAAAGTTCTTTCTAATATCTCTGTGGCTCATTTGGGCACTCAGTTTCCACCTGTGTCCCCTTGTGCGTGTTCCCCTTGTGTTAAATAGACTGTCTTTATCTACCCTATCAATCCCCTTCAGAATCTTGAATGTGGTGATCATGTCCCCCCTAACTCTTCTGTCTTCCAGCGAAGTGAGGTTTAATTCCCGTAGTCTCTCCTCGTAGCTCATACCCCTCAGCTCGGGTACTAGTCTGGTGGCAAACCTTTGAACCTTTTCCAGTTTAGTCTTATCCTTGACTAGATATGGACTCCATGCTGGGGCTGCATACTCCAGGATTGGCCTGACATATGTGGTATACAAAGTTCTGAATGATTCTTTATGGAGAATGTGTGTGGGTGTGGGTGTGGGTGTGTGTGTGGGTGTGGGTGTGTGTGTGTGTGTGGGTGTGGGTGTGGGTGTGTGTGTGTGTGTGTGGGTGTGGGGTGTGTGGGGTGTGGGTGTGTGTGTGGGTGTGTGTGTGGGTGTGTGTGTGTGGGTGTGGGTGTGTGTGTGGGTGTGGGTGTGGGTGTGTGTGTGTGTGTGGGTGTGGGTGTGGGTGTGTGTGTGGGTGTGGGTGTGGGTGTGGGTGTGTGGGTGTGGTGTGGGGTGTGTGTGTGGGTGTGTGTGTGGGTGTGGGTGTGGGTGTGTGTGTGGGTGTGGGTGTGTGTGTGTGGTGTGTGTGTGTGGGTGTGTGTGTGGTGTGTGGGTGTGGTGTGTGTGTGTGTGTGTGTGGGTGTGGGTGTGGGTGTGTGTGTGGGTGTGGGTGTGTGTGTGTGTGTGGGTGTGTGGGTGGGTGTGTGTGTGGGTGTGTGTGGGTGTGTGTGTGTGGGTGTGGGTGTGTGTGTGGGTGGGTGTTTTGTATGGGGTCTTTGTTGATTTGTCTAAGTCTGTTTTGTGTTTCTTTGTTTCTTGTCTGCTCTGTTGAGATATGTATGATAGTGTCCTTGCAACCTTTCTCTCTCTCTCTCTCTCTCTCTCCTCTCTCTCTCTCTCTCTCTCTCTCTCTCTCTCTCTCTCTCTCATCTCTCTTCTCCTCTCTCTCACTCCTCTCACTCTCTCCTCGCTCTTCTCTCTCTCTCTCTCTCTATATATATATATATATATATATATATATATATATATATATATATATATATATATATATATATATTGGATGAGAGATCAATAAATAACACTGCTGAACCAGCTGTATATATAACATTCACCTGATGAGTGTTCATCAAGCATTTACCAGGCCACTTACGAAACCTGTACATCTTGCCTCATTCTCGGTGCCTTATTTTGTGAGATCCAGAGCGTTATAAAAACAAGAACCTCGTATTGTGACAGTTTCCAAGCTCATAAACTGTTTAGGAAATACAGACTTAAGCTGCCATGATGTACAAAAGATGTATAGGTTTCGTAATGGGATGCGTATAGGTTTGATGAATCCTATGGGGCCACTCATCTCCCTGCTGGCGTTCGTGTGGACAGTTGTTGTTCTTGTTGTTGTTTAAGATTCGCTACTTGGAACAAAAAGTTCCAAGTAGCACGGGCTATGGTGATCCCGTAGTGTGGACAGGGCGGAAGCGGTTATTTTCTTGAAGGGTTTCAAAATCAAAAGTATCAAAATTAAGGTTTCTAGATAGTGACTTCATATTTCAAAACTATGTTGTTTTCCCACTCTAATTGCTCGTTTATTTTTGTTCCCATCCCTCCAGAGGCAGCGGCAGAGGGCACGGGTGAGTACCGTAACTTGAATCCCGTAACGGAACGGGTGAGTCCCGTGACGGAACGGGTGAGTCCCGTGACGGAACGGGTGAGTCCCGTGACGGAACGGGTGAGTCCCGTGACGGAACGGGTGAGAGTCCCTTGACGGAACAGGTGAGTCCCGTGACGGAACTGGTGAGTCCCGTAACGGAACGGGTGAGTCCCGTGACGGAACAGGTAACATCGTGTAACATAATAGGAGGGAGGGACGGAGGAACCTGCTAGCGTCAGCCCCTCCTCCCTCCCCAGAGACAAATATATATATATATATATATATATATATATATATATATATATATATATATATATATATATATATATATATGCGCTTTATACCCCCCTGATCCTTCCCTCAGGAGCGATATCAACGAAGAGGCGGAGGCAGTGGCGGCCGCTGCGCTCTTGTCCGGCGAGACGACTCTTCAGACAAAGAACCTGGCGCTCTCCAATGTTTACTTCCGCATGGTGGCCAAGGCCCCGGACAGTGAGTAACACCCCCTCCCCCCCCCCCCAATCATTCCCCGTCAAGTGAGTACCTCACCATGGTCCCTCATAGTACCTCAATATGGTGCCTCATGGTACCTCACTATGCCTCTTATAGTGAGCACCTCATCATAGCCCTTCCCAACAGTGATGAACCCGATAGTGGTGAGATTGAAGGCTCCTTGCAGCGATCCTACGGGAAGTTGAGTGTTGAGTTGAATGGCCTTGAGAAGCCATTTTTAAGGGGAGTAAGTTCTGCTGGGTCATAAGGCCCTATATCCATTCCGGTTTGACTTTTCCTGCTGGGGAGTCGAGCTGAGTTTTAAAATCAAATCCCGCAAAGTTAGACGACTATTAGTGTTAAAACGATATCAATAGCATTGTGATTTTCGTCATTATAGGAGTTAATCCATATATTAGTATATAGGAGTCAATCAACCACTATGATACCCATTGGTGTACCGCATGATAATAATACTCTTAAATTCAAGATAGCGAAGGAAAATCTCTCTTAAATAGGTCTAAATGCATGAATTTTATTTAGAAAGCTTTTCTCAATTCTAACCGGGGTGACTGACGCTTCCTCAGAATACCATAACCAGACGCTGCACAAGATCCTCAACGACAGGAACACGTGGGGCGACAACCTCCTGACGGCGACGCTGCAGGATAAGATCATTAACGACCTCCAAGTGGCCAAGTGTATGAAGAGGGACGGCAAACTATCCGGGGTAAGAAAGTGGTCTTCGGGCTGTGGCAGCAAGTCTATCCTGGCTATTACCTATACTGCTGACACAGCTACACATACACCGTACACAAATCTATGTATGTATGTATGTATATACATGGAAGGAATACATGCTCAAGACGAGGGTCTTACGCCAGCTGATCTTGACCTTCACTTTTGTCTCTGCAGGTGCCGGAAATATTCCTGTACCCGGGATTCATTCCGCTTGACCCACCGGCAGAGAATTGTGGCGATGGAACATTCTAAGGTAAGAAATGTTGTTCAATCTAACGAATCTATCTGTCTCTCCTCTCTCCTCTCTCCTCTCTCTCTCTCTCTCTCTCTCTCTCTCTCTCTCTCTCTCTCTCTCTCTCTCTCTCTCTCTCTCTCTCTCTCTCTCTCTCTCTCTCTCTCTCTCTCTCTCCCTCTCTCTCTCTCTCTCTCTCTCTCCTCTCTCTCCTCTCTCTCTCTCTCTCTCTCTCTCTCTCTCTCTCTCCTCTCTCTCTCTCTCTCTCTCTCTCTCTCTCTCTCTCTCTCTCTCTCTCTCTCTCTCTCTCTCTCTCTCTCTCTCTCTCTCTCTCTCTCTCTCTCTCTGATGGTGCTACATAGCCTTCAACCCCGGCTGTCTTCCTCTAAACGGTATTACTTCCGGCTGTCATCTTAAGCTGTCACCATGTCATTTTATGTTGTCACCTTAAACTGTCAATTCAAGCTGTCACCCCAGGCTCTTGCTGTTTGCAGCTCTTGCTGATATATACATAAACGGCCACCAGTTATGGTTAATAACATTATAGAGCTTCAGAAAGTATATTATACATCTTAGAATACAATATGAGTTTACATTAGGTTACCGTGGGCGTTGATGTTAGTATACACGATGCGAAGAGAGGTGATCAGCTGGGAGATATCAGCTGGGAGTAATCAGTTCTGAGAGATCAGCTTAGTGAGACCAGCTTAGAGAGATCAGCTTAGAGAGATCAGCTTAGAGAGATCAGCTTAGAGAGAGAGCAGCTTAGAGAGATCAGCTTAGAGAGCTCAGCTTAGAGAGCTCAGCCAGCTTAGAGAGCTCAGCTTAGAGAGCTCAGCTTAGAGAGATCAACTTAGAGAGACAAGCTTAGAAATCTCATCTTTGAAAGACCAGCTTGAAAACAAATCAGCAGAAGTCCCAAATCTCTTGATAAGGCAGTGAGCAAGTTCTATGCAATCGCCACTGTTCTTCAGCATACAATATCCTTTATAGAAAAGGCCTTACTAAGCCAAAACAACATTTGACACCATAGACACTGAAGACAAACCGGTTGTACAACATCTCGCTACTTCCATATACCGAAAATCTAGCAAAAAAAAAATCACTCATTAAATAGAGATAACAAAAATGGAGGTCTTCAAAATCCTGTAATTACTAAATTCCCTCCATGGACCCCCCAAAAAAAACAATGAGCAATGGACAAACGGGTAAAGCTTTAAATGTATGACTCCGACAACACATATATAGTGTGAGAATTGGCCAAACATTCAGTGTCCTTTTTTATGTGCTTATTAGAAATAATAACAATCCAATTGATTAGGGGAAAAATTCTAGGAAGTAGCCATTTGGAAACTATCTACCAACAGAAATATAATACAAGCAATTGGAAACTATCTACCAACAGAAATATAATACAAGCAATTGGAAACTATCTACCAACAGAAATATAATACAAGCAATTGGAAACTATCTACCAACAGAAATATAATACAAGCAATTGGAAACTATCTACCAACAGAAATATAATACAAGCAAGCATAATAAATTACAAATTAAATTCCCTGAACTGAATCATGTTTATACAACCCCGGGTTGTATAAATCATGTTTATACAACCCCGGGTTGTATAAATCATGTTTATACAACCCCGGGTTGTATAAATCATGTTTATACAACCCCGGGTTGTATAAACATGATTCTTTTGCTGCTAGCAAGACTCCAGGAATGATAAAAATGATTGCTTAACATACACCTAATCATCCACATTTACTGAAATAACATAATATGGCATTAAACTATATAATCAACCTTAAGGTGTAAATGATTTAATTGGATAATAGAGTACAGAGATGTAAATATAATTTACAAAGGTTTGCTGGCACATCAGAAGAAAAACGGCCGGACGCCGAAGCGGTTGGCGCTTCCTGTGAGGAAGGGCGTCCGCCGACGCCTACAGGAGGGGATGAGGGTAGGGCAGGGGAGCGGGCTAGGCGCCCTCCTGGTGCTGGAGGACGAGGCTGGGGTAGTGACCGAGCCTGGGTTTACACTGGGGGATGTGGTGTTGTCTGAGCCTGGGTTTACACTGGGGGATGTGGTGTTGTCTGAGCTCCGGTTTACACTGGGTGATGTGGAGTTGTCTGATTCTGGGTTTACACTGGGTGATGGGTTATCTGAGCCTCGGTTTACACTGGGTGATGTGGAGTTGTCTGATTCTGGGTTTACACTGGGTGATGTGGGGTTATCTGAGCCTCGGTTTACACTGGGGGATGTGGGGTTGTCTGAGCCTTGGTTTACACTGGGTGATGTGGAGTTGTCTGGGTTTACACTGGGGGATGTGGTGTTATCTAAACCTGGGTTTACACTGGGTGATGTGGTGTTGTCTGATCCTGGGTTTACACTGGGTGATGTGTTATCTGAGCCAGGGTTTACACTGGAGGATGTGTTATCTGAGCCAGGGTTTACACTGGGGGATGTGGAGTTGTCTGGGTTTACACTGGGGGATGTGGTGTTATCTGAGCCAGAGTTTACACTGGGTGATGTGGGGTTATCTGAGCCTCGGTTTACACTGGGGGATGTGGGGTTATCTGAGCCTCGGTTTACACTGGGGGATGTGGAGTTGTCTGATCCTTGGTTTACAATGGGTGATGTGGAGTTGTTTGAGCCTGGGTTTACACTGGAGGATGTGTTATTTGATCCTGGGTTTACACTGGGGGATGTGGAGTTGTCTGAGCCTGGGTTTACACTGGGGGATGTGGTGTTATCTGAGCCAGGGTTTACACTGGGTGATATGGTGTCACCTGAGCCAGGGTTTACACTGGGTGTCGTGGTGTCGTCTGAGCCAGGGTTTACACTTGGTGTCGTGGTGTCGTCCGAGCCAGGGTTTACACTAGATGTGGTGGTGTCGTCTGGGCCAGGGTTTACACTGGGTGTCGTGGTGTCGTCCGAGCCAGGGTTTACACTGGGTGTGGTGGTGTCGTCTGAGCCAGGGTTTACACTGGGTGTCGTGGTGCCGTCTGAGCCAGGGTTTACACTGGGTGTCGTGGTGTCGTCTGGGCCAGGGTTTACACTGGGTGTCGTTGTGTCGTCTGAGCCAGGGTTTACACTGGGTGTCGTTGTGTCGATTGAGCCAGGGTTTACACTGGGTGTCGTTGTGTCGTCTGAGCCAGGGTTTACACTGTGTGTCGTTGTGTCGATTGAGCCAGGGTTTACACTGGGTGTCGTGGTGTCATCTGAGCCTGGGTTTACACTGGGTGTCGTGGTGTCATCTGAGCCTGGGTTTACACTGGGTGTCGTGGTGTCATCTGAGCCTGGGTTTACACTGGGTGTCGTGGTGTCGACTAAGCCAGGGTTTACACTGGGTGTCGTGGTATCGTCTGAGCCTGGGTTTACACTGGGTGTCGTGGTGTCGTCTGAGCCAGGGTTTACACTGGGTGTCGTGGTGTCGTCTGAGCCAGGGTTTACACTGGGTGTCGTGATGTCATCTGAGCCAGGGTTTACACTGGGTGTCGTAGTGTCGTCTGAGCCAAGGTTTACACTGGGTGTCGTGGTGTCGATTGAGCCAGGGTTTACACTGGGTGTCGTGGTGTCGTCTGAGCCAGGGTTTACACTGGGTGTCGTGATGTCATTTGAGCCAGGGTTTACACTGGGTGTCGTAGTGTCGTCTGAGCCAAGGTTTACACTGGGTGTCGTGGTGTCGATTGAGCCAGGGTTTACACTGGGTGTCGTGGTGTCGTATGAGCCAGGGTTTACACTGGGTGTCGTGGTGTCATCTGAGCCAGGGTTTACACTGGGTGTCGTGGTGTCATCTGAGCCTGGATTTACACTGGGTGTCGTGGTGTCGATTGAGCCAGGGTTTACACTGGGTGTCGTTGTGTCGACTGAGCCAGGGTTTACACTGGGTGTCGTGGTGTTGTCTGAACCAGGGTTTACACTGGGTGTCGTGGTGTCGATTGGGCCAGGGTTTACACTGGGTGTCGTGGTGTCGATTGAGCCAGGGTTTACACTGGGTGTCGTTGTGTCGACTGAGCCAGGGTTTACACTGGGTGTCGTGGTGTTGTCTGAACCAGGGTTTACACTGGGTGTCGTGGTGTCGATTGAGCCAGGGTTTACACTGGGTGTCGTGGTGTCATCTGAGCCAGGGTTTACACTGGGTGTCGTGGTGTCGACTGAGCCAGGGTTTACATAGGTTGTCGTGGTGTCGTCTGAGCCAAGGTTTACATTAGGTGTCGTGGTGTCGTCTGAGCCAGGGTTTGCATCGGTTATCGTGGTGTCGACTGAGCCTGAGTTTACACTGGGTGTCGTGGTGTCATCTGAGCCTGGGTTTACACTAGGTGTCGTGGTGTCGTCTGAGCCAGGGTTTACAATGGGTGTCGTGGTATCGTCTGAGCCAGGGTTTACACTAGGTGTCGTGGTGTCGTCTGAGCCAGGGTTTACATCGGTTGTCGTGGTGTCGACTGAGCCTGAGTTTACATTGGTTGTCGTGATGTCGACTGAGCCAGGGTTTACACTGGGTGTCGTGGTGTTACCTGAGCCAGGGTTTACACTAGGTGTCGTGGTATCGTCTGAGCCAGGGTTTACACTAGGTGTCGTGGTGTCGTCTGAGCCAGGGTTTACACTGGGTGTCGTGGTGTCTGAACCAGGGTTTACTCTAGGTGTCGTGGTATCGTCTGAACCAGGGTTTACACTGGGTGTCGTGGTATCGTCTGAGCCAGGGTTTACACTAGGTGTCGTGGTGTCGTCTGAGCCAGGGTTTACACTGGTTGTCGTGGTGTCGTCTGAGCCAGGGTTTACATAGGTTGTCGTGGTGTCGTCTGAGGCAGGGTTTACACCGGGTGTCGTGGTGTCATCTGAGCCATGGTTTACACCGGGTGTCGTGGTATCCTCTGAGCCAGGGTTTACACTGGGTGTCGTGGTGTCATCTGAGCCAGGGTTTACACTAGGTGTCGTGGTGTCGTCTGAGCCAGGGTTTACACTGGGTATCGTGGTGTCGACTGAGCCAGGGTTTACACTGGGTGTCGTGGTGTAGTCTAAGCCAGGGTTTACACTGGGTGTCGTGGTGTCGTCTGAGCCAGGGTTTACACTGGGTGTCGTGGTGTCATCTGAATCAGGGTTTACACTGGGTGTCGTGGTGTCGTCTGAGCCAGGGTTTATACTGGGTGTCGTTGTGTCGTCTGAGCCAGGGTTTACATCGGTTGTCGTGGTATCGACTGGGCCAGAGTTTACATTGGGTGTCGTGCTGTCTGAGCTAGGGTTTACACTGGGTGTCGTTGTGGCGTATGAACCAGGATTTACACTGGGTGTCGTGGTGTCGTCTGAGCCAGGGTTTACATCGGTTGTCGTGGTATCGACTGGGCCAGAGTTTACATTGGGTGTCGTGCTGTCTGAACCAGGGTTTACACTGGGTGTTGTTGTGGCGTATGAACCAGGATTTACACTGGGTGTCGTGGTGTCGTCTGAGCCAGGGTTTACACTTTGTGTCGTGGTGTCGTCTGAGCCAGGGTTTACACTAGGTGTCGTGGTGCCGTCTGAGCCAGGGTTTACACTGGGTGTCGTTGTATCGTCTGAGCCAAGGTTTACACTAGGTGTCATGGTGTCGTCTGAGCCAGGGTTTACACTGGGTGTGGTGGTGTCGTCTGGGCCAGGGTTTACACTGGGTGTCGTGGTGTCGTCTGAGCCAGGGTTTACACTGGGTGTCGTTGTGTCGTCTGAGCCAGGGTTTACACTGGGTGTCGTGGTGTCGACTGAGCCAGGGTTTACACTGGGTGTCGTGGAGTCATCTGAGCCAGGGTTTACACTGGGTGTCGTGGTGTCGTCCGAGCCAGGGTTTACACTGGGTGTCGTGGTGTCGTCCGAGCCAGGGTTTACACTGGGTGTCGTGGTATCGTCTGAGCCAGGGTTTACACTGGGTGTCGTGGTATCGTCTGAGCCAGGGTTTACACTGGGTGTCGTGGTGTCGTCCAAGCCAGGGTTTACACTGGGTGTCGTGGTGTCGTCTGAGCCAGGGTTTACACTGGGTGTCGTGGTGTCGTCTGAGTCAGGGTTTACACTGGGTATCGTGGTGTCGTCTGAGCCAGGGTTTACACTGGGTGTAGTGGTGTTGCCTGAGCCAGGGTATACACTGGGTGTCGTGGTATCGTCTGAGCCAAGGTTTATACTAGGTGTCGTGGTGTCGTCTGAGCCAGGGTTTACACTGGGTGTCGTGGTGTCGACTGAGCCTGGGTTTACACTTGGTGTCCTGGTATCATCTGAGCCATGGTTTACAGTGGGTGTCGTGGTGTCTGAACCAGGGTTTACAGTGGGTGTCGTGGTGTCGTCTGAGCCAGGGTTTACAGTGGGTGTCGTGGTGTCGTCTGAGCCAGGGTTTACACTAGGTGTCGTGGTGTCGTCTGAACCAGGGTTTACAGTGGGTGTCGTGGTGTCGTCTGGACCAGGGTTTACACTGGGTGTCGTGGTGTCGTCTGAGCCAGGGTTTACAGTGGGTGTCGTGGTGTCGTCTAAGCCAGGGTTTACACTGGGTGTCGTGGTGTCGTCTGAGCCAAGGTTTACACTGGGTGTCGTTGTGGCGTATGAACCAGGATTTACACTGGGTGTCGTGGTGTCGTCTGAGCCAGGGTTTACACTGGGTATCGTTATATCGTCTGGGCCAGGGTTTACACTTGGTGTCGTGGTGTCGTCTGAGCCTGGGTTTACACTGGGTGTCGTGGTGTTTGAGTCAGTATTCACACTGGGTGACGTGGTGTTCGAGTCAGTATTCACACTGGGTGACGTGGTGTTCAAGCCAGTATTCACACTGGGTGACGTGGTGTTCGAGCCAGTATTCACACTGGGTGACGTGGTGTTCGAGTCAGTATTCACACTGGGTGACGTGGTGTTCAAGCCAGTATTCACACTGGGTGACGTGGTGTTCGAGCCAGTATTCACACTGGGTGACGTGGTGTTCGAGCCAGTATTCACACTGGGTGACGTGGTGTTCGAGCCAGTATTCACACTGGGTGACGTGGTGTTCAAGTCAGTATTGACACTGGGTGACGTGGTGTTCAAGCCAGTATTGACACTGGGTGACGTGGTGTCATCTGAGCCAGGGTTTTCAACAGGTGTGTCTGTGTCATCTGGACCTGCAGGGAAACACAGATCAGTGGGACTGAAGAACAACACAGTAAAGTCAGCATATATTTTCACTAAGCTCTGATGGCGACTCTGCCCCCGTAGTAACTCGTGGGAGCAGATTACCAAGTATCGCAGCCTTAAGTTTACAACTACAGCAAGATTCTGATAAAAAGATATTGATGAGCAAAGATTGAAAATACATAAATATCTAAGAATAGCATCTATTCGTGGGATTTAGGATGAGCTGTTCACTCAGGCTCCAGCAGGGAATCGAGATCTGATGAATAGATTCTCCTGAACAGTCGAAGTCATTTAATCAACCACTTTCCGAAGCCTATTCATCTTTTCTCAATCGTAGCGGCTTTGTTTGCCATTATTCAACACTTTGCGAACTTGGGAGCTTCACAAGCCAAGGTTATGTTTGTTATCCACAACCTCGTAGTGCTTTGGAGTTCATAAACTGTTAAATAAGCATAAATCAAGCCGCCATGATGGAGGAAAGATGTAGAGGTTTCGTAAACGATTGCGTTAATGCTTGATGGTTTCTGGGACACTACCCCACGTGCCCTGATAATCAACACATGGCCTAACCACTTCGGAAAGTGACGGGAGAAACGCCATTAAAGATCACGGATTTCTTAAATCTGAAATAATTGTTCTTATTTTTAATTGAAGGTTTCTGCAAATATAATGATAAGAAGCAAGTGGAGAGATGGAGCTGGAGTACCCACCTGGGTCGACGACCCCACACTGCTGACCGCTGCTGCTGGGGACCTCCAGAGGGGTGAAGGCTGGGTAGGGAACCGCTTCAACATCCTGCCGGAGACGCAGAAGGTCATACACAACTAACCTCGCTGGAATCAATCTTCAAGCTATAATCCCTAAATTTCAACCAATAAAGTAGTTTTGACTCATCCAATAGACAATTTCCATAACAACTTGCATTCTTTCCATGTGATATGGCAAACGTTAAAGTGATGACGCGCTTAAAGCAAAAGGCCAACAGTATGGTATCGCCTGAGAAGGGAACCACCCACGTGCAGTACTCCGGAGCCTTGCCGACCTCCACATATGGTAGAGAAAGTCCCCAGCACGGCCTTCTGCAGCGCCTTCTGCACTCTTCTGTTCCTCCATGTTGTCTCATCGTGAAGTAAGTCGTAGAAGCTCACATTGAGGTATTCTGAACAATTAAAAAAAGAATCGGAATCTCGCATAATACATATATACATGGATTCTAATAATATGTATTTATCCACGGTGACCAGGATGGAAGTATTAATTGTTGTTTGGTCAAACCTCGTGACATAATGGTGTTTAGGATCCGTTTATTTAAATTAGGCATGTGAAGCCTCTGATAGCCATCACTATTACTCATCAGGGAGTACAAGCCATCACTATCACTCATCAGGGAGTACAAGCCATCACTATCACTCACCAGGGACCACAAGCCATCACTATCACTCACCAGGGACCACAAGCCGTCACCATCACTCACCAAGGAGTACAAGTCATCACTTACATACAAATTACCAGCCAATATCACCAATTCACAACTAACTGCAAGCCATCTTACACTCGAGTAATCAAAACTATAAAAAATAAATAATCTTCCATCAAAGTTTACCGTGAACCACAAGGTTTAAGGAGTGAAAGTATACCGCCACTGTGAGTTTACATCAGAAAGATTAAATTCAAGATTTATTGGAATTTAATCCAATAAATTTGGGATTAAATTCCAAAATTTAAGGCTATAAGATAGTATACAAAGATATGTTCATGAGAAACTATCCCTTCTCGAACTCCAAAGTTATAACTCTAACTCCATATGACCCTTGGGAAAGCCCCAAGGTTTAGTTCTCCAAGACAACTACAGCTATGATCCCTTGATAACTGCAAGATCAAATTATAATCTAAATACACGTTTCTGAAGAATACTTCTTTAGGACACTGACTATAGAATATTGAAATATATAATCATTGCATCTCTCCTATAATAATCATGGTGTTGGATGTATACGACGCTGCATATAGTGATGCAGAAACGGTATATAGATTGTTCTTACTGTCAGGGGCCTTGACAACCACTTTGCGTAACAATTGAGCCTCTGGGGTGACGCTGCCATTTCTCAGCGCCGTCTCAGCCTCCTCGTCCACCTCCAACCTGAAGAAGGACACACACCTGAGGCTCCCACACATGTGACTGTGGTCATATATATATACACACACACCTGGCGTATAGTCTGTATACTTGGTGTCAGTGACGTAAGGGTGTTGGTTATGATATATTAATATGTTCACATATACGTAATAGAACAATAAGCACGAAAATTACATTTAAAATACAAACAATGGTAACTTAACCAAGAAATTTGAAATGTTTACCTTAGATGAAACCTTTTTTTTTTTCATTTAACCTACAGTAGAACTAATGAATCCCTCGTGTATGAAGTCTGGTCCACAGGCGAGTGACACACACACACACACACACACACACACACACACACACACACACACACACACACACACACACACACACACACACACACACACACACACATACATACATTACCAACTCACCTGCCTCGAAAAATCTTTTCTCTGGAAAACAAAACAAAACAAATTAAGAATATTATTTATAACGTGTTGAGTAATATCTCTATGATATCAAATGTAAGTATCATTGAATATTTGCATTTGATATCATGACGATGATTAAACATTGCCGTGAAGAGTTTTAACGATGAGATGAGATGAGATGAGAGACACAGATGATGAGACCAAATGCAACAATTTTCAGACCAAATGCAACAATTATGTAACTAAATACAGCAGTGATGACATCAAATACAGCCATGATGAGCATGATTGTCAGAATAAAATTCTTAAAAATAAAATGTAAATTGCTAAAATATTGAAAAAATATATTTAATGAACACTAAAAGAACGTACATGAGTATGAGGAAGTACACATACGAAAGGAAAGGTATACATCGAAAGATGTATCCCGATTCAGTGTGAATATACACTGAGTTTACTTTAGGCCTGAGTTATGCTCAAAGTTAAAGTATACTTTATATGCTTATGAAGAAAAAAACAATACACACTCAAGTTCATTTTAACTTAACCAAGTACACATTCACTGCTGGGTGAACAGAGGCTATATTTAAGGATTGGTGCCTAGTCAATCCTCCCTGATCAGGGAGGTGTTAATTCAATAAAATTACTGTACATAGAAACAAAGACGGCTTGCAATACTAATGATTTACAAATCTGCAGAGGGCTCTCTAAATGTGACGCCTCAATGTCGAGTCTTTCTAAATAAGAGATACATCATGTATCTTGCTTTATATCATTTATTCATTCATTTAATAAGCAACATAATTATTTATAATTCCAAGCTAATCGTCTCGTGCGTTATGAACCAAGTTTGACTTACGTTTCTTCCTTGTCATATATATCTTGTATTCCAAAGACGTCAAAGATGGCGTTCAAGGAAGGAACTGAGGTACAGGTGGAGAGGTTGACGCGCGGGTAGTAGGCTAGAAAGGCCAAACAACTCTCTTCCTCTGCGCCAAACCCTCCCTGTAAAAGAAGTCACGTACAACTATTGTTGATTGATTGATGGATGAAGATTAAGCCACCCAAGAGGTGGCACGGGCATGAATAGCCCGTAAGTGGTAGATTGTTTTGAAGTGAATGTTGATTGTGAACAGGACCTCTTCATGGAGACCACCTCACCAAACTCCAACGACAGCACGGATTAGCCAAAGTCTCAGCCAGAGAAAAAATGGAAGATCCAGAACTCTATACTAACCCACCAGCTCCATAATTGATACAGCCAGCCCTCCGAGGCTGAAATCCACCATGAAGACCCCCATCCATCCCCAGATCTCCAGTATCAGCTATTGATACTGATAATGGCCCTAAAGAGCCTCCGCTAACGGGCTCACCATAGCCCGTGCTACATGGAACTTTCTGTTCCGAGTAGCTGAATCTAAAATGACAACAAACAGACCCAGAGTAAGAAAACATGCTAATATACAAGCCCGTAGGCATCTGGCAACACAACTCACGAAGGTGGGCTGGTGGCGGTGGGTGGCGTCGTATGTACACTCAGTGATGAGAGTGTCCCCGGGCAGGACGGACGTCTCCTCCATTACTATGCTCGACTCGTGATAACGGAAGTCGTAGGTCGTGTCTGTGGAAGGGAATTCTCAAATTTCCATACATGGCTCACCGATACGGTAAAACTTATTATTATTAATATCCATATTATGACAGTTTTTCACCATCTTATTCATTTCTCTATATATTTTAACATCCTCTTGTCACCAGAAAAATATCCCAGACCTTCACAGGAATTGAAATATTTCAATGAATGAACAATTTCCTATCCTTAGAACCCTGCTATACCACCCCTTATCACGGAAGTTATAACGCACCAATTCACACACACACTTGTACACTGTTATGCAAGTGTGTTGAGGGGAGACTCACCCTTCAGGAGTGGGGGCAGCTCTTGGGCCTCGCGGATGTGTCTGAGGGAGAGGCTGCGGCCGAGTAGGTGGGCGTGAAGGAGCCCCTGAAACACCTGTACTCCTCCAGCAGGCAGCTCCTGGAATATCAAGTGCCTCGTTTCATTTGCAATCATTACTCTTGTGTTCCTGTATCCATTTACCTATTACAAATGTATTCATTTACCAAACAATTCCTCTGGTAAATAAAACATAGTTAACTTATCGTGGGCCAGGTCTAAACTGCTCTACTGCCCCGTTACAGTCCATCTTGCCTCAAGGTGACTCGAGGGGTGTGGAAGGCGGTGTTCACTGGTGTGCCTCGCGGGAGACTTACCTGAAGGGTGCACGAGCTGTCGCAGAGGCCGACGGAGGTCCACTTGTGATTGGGTGGGATAATGTGCATCGGGGAGACGCTGTGTCCCACCATCAGGATCCCGGCGTCATACTGACGCAGCCGCTCAGTGTAGAAGATGCGTAAACCAGAAGCGTCAACAACGCCTGCACGATAAAGAATACTACTGGTCACGGCGTATAAAGTATTGTATGCTAAGAATATAATGTGTGTATTATAGTGACACGAGTACTCGAGTGAGTACCTAACTAGCGTCGAGGTAGTTAAATTACTTAAATGGAACTAGTGAATATTGATATATAGTACCTCTAGTGTTCTAGAGTTTCTAATAAGCCGGCCTCGCCTGGGCTTAGGGCGGGAATGAATGAATTTATAATCCCAGGAAGGTGTTAAAAATAATATATTGAATCCGTACCCGTCAGTTACCACATACAGCCCCGCTCCTGTGCCAGGCAAGTCCACTACGGGTTCACCATAGCCTGTGCTACTTGCAACTTTTTGTTCGGAGTAGCTTAGTAGTTAATTAAACAACAGTTACCGTAGTGCAACATATATGCGAAAGACAAGCGGGTGCAGGGAAGTACTGCGGTGATACATGGGTGAACTTTGTCGCGTTGTTAACCAAACAAAACATTAATGACCCCCTCAAAAGGAAAAGCCTTCCTTCCTCTCGTCAGTCGACCTGTGCTTCAAGTAACGAGTGACCGTACCTTGCTTGAGGTTGGGGTTATCATAGCGAGTCTCCATCAGGAAGAAGGTGGCGCCTCCGTGTTCCTCCCCCATAGGAAGCCCAACGTGCTGCGGAAACATTTCTCCTGCAGAGAAAAAACATTTTGAAATTTGTTCCCCATTCTGAAAACGCTAGGCTCTGCACACAGCTGCAACCCAGTGGGTACAAGTTGAGCAAATGACGTTTTTTTTCAACGTTACCCGAGCATGTTGTGCCCACCGGGCAGAGCCTACCACTGTGAATTAAATTATAGCATAATCATTAACATCCAGTACTTTCTGCATAGCCTCGCACACAATGTGTTGAGACAACAATGTGAGCGTACTGCGGGAAAGGTAAAGTGAGCATCAGGAGACAAGAGTTAAGCCTGAACGACTACACAGCACTCGGACGGAATGTAAGGGCTGGGATCTGGGATAGGACGGAGGGAAGGAATGCTCCCCAACCACTTGCACCGTCGGGGATCGAACGCCGACCTGCAAGAAGCGATGCCGTCGCTGTACTGACCAATCCAAGTGGAAAGTAATCTAGAAATCTATACAAAGTAAGAATGACGTAAATGCAACACACAATCTATTGATATTTAAAATGAAACAGAAAATTTAAATTGGTTAGAGACAATGCACCATCAGAACTTTATTTCCTCTTTACATCTTCAGTTACAATACACCAAGAAATTATATTAGTGAGGCGCCTTACCTTGGCCACCGATGGCCCAGGCAACGATGGGACTAGTGCAGTATTTCCAAGAGACTGGCATGTTGGCCCCATAGCACTGGCTGCCTGGCAGGTCGACCCACTTGTCATAGTGCCTGGCACTGTCAGGCAAGTGGCACTCGTACAGCAGGATGTGGTGGACATGCTCCACGTTCCTTTCCTCGATCACTGGAACAAACTGACACGCCCAGCTTGTTACTCAACTGCTTGACACAACCATCACTCAACCACCATGTCACTCCTGACACAACCACTGTGTCACTCAACAAATGTACATATTGCCACGGATGGCTGGAGCAGACTCACACCATACAGTTACTTAGTCTACGGGCTCACCATAGCCCGTGCTACTTGGAACTTTGTTCCGGGTAGCAAATCTTTAATAACAAGTTACTTAGTATGCTAATAAATAAACATTCATTACTCAGTATACTAATAATTGACACCCCATATTACTCAGTATACTAATAATTGACACCCCATATTACTCAGTATACTAATAATTGACACCCCATATTACTCAAAATACTAATAATTGACACCCCATATTACTCAGTACACTAATAATTGACACCCCATATTACTCAGTACACTAATAATTGACACCCCATATTACTCAGTATACTAATAATTGACACCACAAAGTACTCAGTATACTAATAATTGACACCCCATATTACTCAGTATACTAATAATTGACACCACAAATTATTCAGTATACTAATAATTGACACCACAAATTACTCAGTATACTAATAATTGACACCCCATATTACTCAGTATACTAATAATTGACACCACAAATTACTCAGTATACTAATAATTGACACCCCATATTACTCAGTATACTAATAATTGACACCACAAATTACTCAGTATACTAATAATTGACACCACAAATTACTCAGTATACTAATAATTGACACCACAAATTACTCAGTATACTAATAATTGACACCCCATATTACTCAGTATACTAATAATTGACACCCCATATTACTCAGTATACTAATAATTGACACCACAAAGTACTCAGTATACTAATAATTGACACCCCATATTACTCAGTATACTAATAATTGACACCACAAAGTACTCAGTATACTAATAATTGACACCCCATATTACTCAGTATACTAATAATTGACACCACAAATTACTCAGTATACTAATAATTGACACCACAAATTACTCAGTATACTAATAATTGACACCACAAATTACTCAGTATACTAATAATTGACACCACAAATTACTCAGTATAGTAATAATTGACACCACAAATTACTCAGTATACTAATAATTGACACCACAAATTACTCAGTATAGTAATAATTGACACCACTAATAATTGACACCACAAATTACTCAGTATAGTAATAATTGACACCACAAATTACTCAGTATAGTAATAATTGACACCACAAATTACTCAGTATACTAATAATTGACACCCCATATTACTCAGTATAGTAATAATTGACACCACAAATTACTCAGTATACTAATAATTGACACCACAAATTACTCAGTATACTAATAATTGACACCTTATATATACTTGTCAACTCTCCATCGCTACAAAACTATTACATATAAAATAACTGAAATGAATACTTGAGTAGAGGTATATTGATGAAGTATACCAAAAATATTCACGATATACTTTTGTAATATATTAATTGACGATATACTTTTGTAATATATTAATGATTAAATGTAACACCAAAATTGATAGTTGACTGGCTTACTGACCCCGATAACGTGAACCTTGCGTGAAACAGGGGTCTTGTAGAGCTTGCACCAGTTTACACCTGTCTGGTCCACAGGTAAACTCACCTGTAGAGTATGCAAAGTATGCAAATTATTAAGCAAACTTAATAATATATTTTGTCGTATATTTGTTGTACCTAAGAATATTAGGTACGACATATGTATATATGCCGTACCTAATAGCCTGAACGCATTACTCGGCCTAGTATGCAAGGCCCGATTTGCCTAATAGGCAGAGTGGTTTTTTATTATTTACAAATAAATCCAACTGGTTTATTTGAATTAATAATATTATATTATAATAAGAACATGAATTACTGACTTATTTATGTTAGTTTAGGTTAGGTTAAGACCCGTGTGTGTGTGTGTGTGTACTCACCTATTTGTGGTTACGGGGGATGAGCTGTGGCTCTTTGCTCCCGCCTCTCAACTGGCATATGTGTGTGTGTGTGTGTGTAAGATTATAGTTTAATTAACGACTAACATTGGGAGAGAGTAGGTCCCAAGTCTTCACATCGCTGCTGAAGGAGGGTCGGGCCGCCTGCGGCTGCTGCAGGAGGAGAGATCTAGTTCCTCTCTGATCATGCCACTTCATCGCCATTATATCAGTGGGATCCTCCTTGTCGTAGGACCAGATCACCCTCACGGCGTTGGCCTGTGTGACAAGAGTGAAGGAATTCGTGCTGCGGCTGTACCCGTCTCATCATCACTATAAACAATTGACTGACAACAAGCTAATTGTATTGAAGGTTATAAATTATAGTGCATGATTCTCTATAAGGTATTAACTGTAAAATGTGGTAGAATCAGAGTTCCTCTAAAAGGAAATAGGGGCAGAACCCGTTCCTCTAGAAGAAAATAGGGGCAGAACCAGTTCCTCTAGAAGGAAATAGGTCAGAGTTCCTTTAGACAGATCATCAATAAAACTCGAGGCGCTAAAACTGAGTTTTAGAGTCCCTAATAGACCCAGCAAAGAGTCGATAGCCTACCGAAATCTGGAAGTCTGTGTGGAGCTCGCAGGTGGTCCAGGGGCGGGAGAACCTGAGCACTGTGTGGGTGTCGTTCTGGTACCCTCCCAGCAGCGTCACGTCCTGGGACTCGTCCAACATCGGTACCGAGTACCCCGTGGCGTACCGGTCCTGGCGACAAGTAACTTGCAGGTATTAACAAAGTAAGGCCATAGAGAGGTATACATCCTCCCTACACTTTTGCTCTGATTTAACCTTGTGGCAATAAGGCTATAGATCTGATTTAACCTTGTGGCAATAAGGCTATAGATCACTGTTGTTATGTTTCCAGCACTCCAGGGGCGTGTGTGTACAGGTCATCGGCTGTTTTGATTAAGGGAAAAGTCCAAAGTAGGCACAGCCACAGGCAAAAGTATTCTCTCTGACTACACTTACATGCAGGAAGACCTTTCCGGAGTCGTCCACCCAGCCAAGCACGATGTCGGCGCCCTTCATCCCGCCGTTGGAGGAGAACCCGAGGCCCACGTACCCCTTCGTCGCCACCTGCAGCAGGAAGACACTTCTCTTTAGCGCCCCATGGGACATGACACCTCATATTGTATACATTGTGGCCAGAACTGATAGACTTCCTGTGTGTATAAAGCAGTTTAACAGTATGTTCAGGTACAGTATCTTAGTCCCGTTTCCTACCTTTAATTCTCCTTTTCTTTTAAATCACACACTAATACTTGATGATTTTTGATAGTGTATGCATCTAAAGTATTGTTTAGCAGCTAGAGTTATGTATGAAAGCAAGATTTATGTATGATGGCTCGTGTTGTGTATGGTCAGCTTGAGTTGATTCCTTCGTCCGTGTCGAGGCATGCAACGGTGTCACTTTTTTTTAGGGATATTTCTGCACGGACTTTAAGCCTCTGGCTGGCACTACCAACAACACTATATAACCTGAATATATAATAAATAACCTGTGATAACATTCACCACCCATGCTAACATTCACTAACCAAGGAAACATGTTCATAGACACCAACCTGTAACTCAATAATGATATCATTCTTCCTCGGGGTCCAGAGCATTATATACCTGCCCGACCGGTCCAACACTTCTCGGTGCGTGAACATCATTCGACGAAGACTGTTGGTGACATTCCCCAGCTGGTCTTGAATTATGGGAGGTGGAAATTTGATGGTGACATTCCTTGGCTGGTCTTTAACTATGGGAGGTGGAAATTTGATGGTGACATTCCCTGGCTGGTCTTTAACTATGGGAGGTGGAAATTTGATGGTGACATTCCTCGGCTGGTCTTGAGCTGTGGGAGGTTGGAGACTGTTGGTGACATTCCCCGGTTGGTCTTGAACTGTGGGAGATAAAAAGTCAGGCTAAGCCTTCGCAACACAAAAATCCAATTTACGAGCTCTTCATTTGATATATATCAAACGCATGTCGAGGGAAAATACTTATAAATATAACCATTACATTTCATTAAATTGAAATCCACAACAAATCTCCAACATATCTTACTGAACACTTATTTACTGTAGAGTAAATACGTGGAAGCAGGTAAATAAGATAAAAGTAAATACGTATTTACCAGCAGGTGGTAAATACGACCCACCTGCTGGCCGGTCGGCGACGCACTGCTCAACGGTCGACTGAAGAGCTGCGTAGCTCGGGTACTGGACAGTCGTCATTTGCTGGTGGTAAAGCAACACGTGCTAGCGTCATTACACACAGAAATAACAATAGCGTGATGCATCAAATGAACAAAGCCATGACCATGTCGTAGCTCAGTCGATTAAAGCAGCGTCTGGGATGCTCCCGGGTGCAGGTTCGAATTCTCGTCACGGCCCCAAAGAGAGTTTAAGTGGCCAAATTATAAGAAAAGTTAAGTAGTATGTTAAAATCAAGTGATTTTTCCTTGGCCTAACCGAGGGATATTATTTTTAAGTTGCATCCCTTATGAACCCATCCCTGCCCTTGTGTAGCAGTGCACAATAGAAAGTTGATTTTACATATTTATACATTAAAAATTGACTGTAAACAAGATATTATATATGTGCTTCAGCCTACAGTTTAGACCTATTGTCGACCCCTTGTCCCGTCTGACAGTAAATACCAGCATTATCCTCACTTTAATAAGACTTAATTAAAATCCTCAGATTAGGCAAAATTGTAATTCAATTTTGTCAATAACGATGTTAATAATAAATAAGGCACTCACATCCAAGACACGGACGCTGTCCCGTGTTCGACAGGTGCTGGAGTGCGCGCCAAACACGACCATCTCCTGCAGTACTGCCGCCATCTCTGTGTCCTCCCACGTTGCTTTGTCCTCCAGGATGTCGTAAAGGGACATGTTGACGTATTCTGAAGTATTCGGGAATTGACGGACGTACAATAAACATTCTTACAACGGACTAGATACGTTAATATAGTGCATATATATATATATATATATATATATATATATATATATATATATATATATATATATATATATATATATATATATATATATATATATATATCTACCAACAAAATTATTCTACACCAAATGTAAGGTGGACAATTGTGGCTATAGACTGCTAGAAACGACATGTAGACTGTTCTTACTGTCAGGGGCCTTGACAACCACTTTGCGTAACAATTGGGCCAATTTGATGGCCTTGACCTCTGGGGTGACGCTGCCATTTCTGAGGGCCTCGGCCAGCTCCGTCTCGGCTTCCTCGTCCACGTCCAACCTGAAGAAGGACACACCTGAGGCTTCCACACATGTGACTGTGCTCATGTATGTAGATTATCTCTTTCGACATACGATAGTTGGCTGGATAAAATACTATATTCAAATATTTTTTTATTAAGATCAGACACTTGAGATATGTAAGAGAACCATACAATATTCTTAGCTTACCTGCCACGTAAAAGCTTCCCACTGAAAAGTTAAATACTCCAAATTATTATAAGATTTCGAGACATTTACGAGTATATTAATACAAGAGTTGAAACAGAAAAACTATGTTCAGACAACACCACGAAGCCTCAACACCCACATAAAAGACGTACAAAATTTAGTAATGTTTTTCAGGAGTGGTGCAAACATTTGGCCCAGTTACTATCTATGTTCATGTGTAACATATCAAATGTTACAGTTATATAACAATTGATAGAACGTTGAAAAAAAAAACTCACTGAGAACACAAACGTTTGGTAAATTCTTCATAGATATATAATACACGTTATATTAGGCTTCTCTTTTCAAATATAACAAAATAATATTTTTACCAATTACCATAATTACAATATATTTTTGTTATATTTAATTTAAAAAAAGACTTGACTTACACCTGTTTTTTATTATATATATCTTGTATACCGAGAGAAGCAAGGACGGTGTCCAAGAGCGGGGCTGAGGTACACATAGACAGATTGACACGTGGGTAATACGCTATGAACCCAAGACACATTTCTTCCTCGGTGTTAAACCCTCCCTGAAAGACAAAAACAAAAAACGCCATGCTTAAAAACAAAATCATGCACATTTATATTCATATATTGTTTGCTAGGTATTTTGTAAATGGATAGATTTTGTTTCAACAAATTGCCTGCAAATTATTCTTCATTAGTTGTTTGTCGTGTGTTTTTCAATTGTTAAAAATATATGTGTTGCCATTCCACGGTTCCTGTAGCAACTCACGAAGGTGGGCTGGTGGCGGTTGGTGGCGTCGTATGTACACTCTGTGATGAGGTAGTCCCCGGGCAGGACAGTTACCTCCTCCGTCAGCACCCTTGTCTGCTGGTAGTTGAAGTCATAAGTCATGTCTGCGGATAAAAGAATATATAAATCTGTTTCTACCAAGAAGCGGTCGAGTTAAGAACACTGCAGCCCAAATTTACTGACTCAAACTTATCTTGCCTAGATAGTTTTGAGTATCCTCATTTTGAAATTACGCTAATGGAGACTCACCCTTCAGGAGTGGGGGCAGCTCTTTGGCTTCGCGGATGTGTCTGAGGGAGAGGCCGCGGCCCAGCAGGTGTGAATGAAGGAGCCCCTGAAAAACCTGCAATCCTCCGGCTGGCAGCTCCTGCAAAGTCAACTCTCTCATTTCCTATTTGTCTAAACAAAGAATTAGATTACTCTTGTGTTTAGGCATATTTATCTATGAAATATTCCTATATTGTGGGAAACAGAATCCCATGAAGTGTGACAATATTGAAAATTATGTACGATCGTTTCTGGTTCTCTCTCAAAACGTAAATCAACTAGATTCGAGAACATTTAACTTTTCAAACTTCATAATAGACAGTTTATAATTAAAATAAGCATCTTTTATGGTTTGATTAGGCTCTAAATGAGGTTATCTTGAGATGATTTCGGGGCTTTTTTTTTTTTTAGTGTCCCCGCGGCCCGGTATAAGGCCTCCACCCCCAGGAAATAAGCATGCTAGGTTTCAGGGTGAAAGAAACTTTGCCCATTTGTTTTGATTAGGCTCTCCACCAGGCTAATGAATGAATAAATACATATAATCTATGCAACTGATAGCTCCTAAAAGTAAAATAGGGAATCAAACGACGATAATATACCTTTTAGAAATCAGAATAAGGCGCATGTCAGCTTTACGAACGTTAGAAATCTTTATTTCTTGTTAAATTAATACTATACATACTCCCTTGAGTTATCTTTTGCACTTGTATTAATAATACAAGAATTCAAGCAGTACTTGGCGGTGAAGATAAGCGGCAATAATTAGTCAATTCACATCAATAAAAGCAAAAATGAAATTGATTCTTGGCAACTTATGAGTGCTTGTGACCGGCCAAGGAATTGAAATTGAAATTGAAATAAGTTTATTGAGGTAAAATACACACAAAGGGATGAGGTAGCTCAAGCTATTCTCACCCCGTTCAGTACAACATGTTAGTACATACATAGACACACATCACAAACAATAAACCTGTTACCAAACATTCTGAGAGATAAACATGTACATTTCCTCCTTCACAAGTAGTATGGTATCAGACGTACACAAATACTTTTATGACCTAGTTATACGGATAATTCAACAAAATATTACAGTCTTGGTGCAAAATTCTTATATCTCTCAAGAATATCATCAACCTTTCCTTTGTGACACATCCAGGCTATTTGCTCAGGAACAGTCTTTATCAGTGTTTCTATATACATTAATCAACGGACAATCAAGAACATAATGGGCAAGGGTGTGAGACCTTAACATACCACATAGTTTACACTTCGTGTCATTATCATGAACACCTATCCCATATTCCCAGTAATATTTGTACCCAAGCCTGAGCCGCATGTACACAGTCACTCCAAGCATTTCTCCTTTTACCATAAATGAAATGGGTGTTTTGACTCTCATACATGTAGTGTTGCATGGTTAGACTTCTCTCATACATTATCCCTCTCCTCTCCACTCCTGCCTGTGCCTGAATATTTCTGATTTTGCTTCTTATTTGTCTCATTGTGAATTCACATTCAATGTCAATTTGTGGTTTTGATGTGGCACGTTTGGCCAAGTCATCCGCCACCTCGTTGAGCACTATTCCAACATGAGATGGAATCCACATGAATTTCACACTATGACCTTTCAGTTGTATCTCAGTTATTCTTCTCTTACAATCCTCAACTATAGACATGATGACTGGGTTTCGACTGTCTAAGGACTCCAGTGCTCCTCGGCTATCGACAAATACAAAAACATTTTTGTCGTCATGACGTACTTCCTCCAAACACGCCAGAATGGCCTGCAGTTCAGCTTGTGTGGATGATATATAATTACTAAGCCGGAGTTCAATTATCCTGTCCACAGTCCCAAACTCCGTATAATCCCTTATTAGGACACCACACCCTGCCCTACCATCCTCCGCCACCGACCCGTCGCAATATACATGTAAACTGTTGCCTCTTGGTAACCGAGATATCATGCTTCCATACAAACACCGTAATTGTCCCGGTTCATGATGAATCTTTTTCACCTTGAGGGGTACAATTTCGACGTCTATTTTCTGTACTTTCCAGGGACCGGCCAAGGAGTCACAACTGGTCAGCCTCACTTTGACGTCCCAGGGAGTGCAGATGTGTCGTGTCTTATCCAACATTTGTGGTCAATTTTTGGTGCTTTTGGCAGCTAAAACTCCTCCTATTCCCCCTTGAAACATGGCACCATTGTCAACCAAGCGTCGGGTGCAGGAAAATTGGAAGCTCTCTCCCAGGCGTCACCTGTCTAAGAAGGATAGTTTGCCAGTATTGAGAAAGGGTTGTTCATGCCGGCGTGTCTTGACCAATAGAGGTAAGCGGTGTGCCATTTATTTATGTATAGCGATATTCTTGACTAATTGACCAATAGTAAATATCAACCAGCAAAGTGGCTAAACCACGGGCTAACGTTTCAAGCCATGTTAATCACGGTAATGTTTACGGAATTCTAATGTTTATGGTCAGTAATGGTGATATATGGATTAATTTTAATAATTATAATTCTTTGTGTGTAGTGGGGAAGGGGGGAAAGGGGACAGGCAGCCAGGTCATATATACAGTACATGTTAAGTTTAGTATCGTGTTCATTCCCACGGTAGAACTACTGATCCCCCCCCCCAGGAGGCAACATCACAAGAAGCTAAATCCTTGGGTACCTATTTATTACCAGGTGGATAGGCTCATAAGGTGATAGGAAACGCGCCTAGCCATTTATGTACCGCTTGGGATTCGACCCCGGAATTGTCGATTTTGCATCGAGAACGAACCCAACTATATACTATGCAGACGAGGAGTCACAGTAACGTGGCTGAAATATGTTGATCAAACCACACACACCAGAAAGTGAAGGGACGACAACTATACTCTCTGGACCCCTTGATTTCGACTGCATCTGTTATCAATATATCTTGATGCCTACTGTAATGTATGAATGTACATCACTATGGCCTCTTGGTTGAGTGTTGTAATTAATGAACCATTACTTTTAACAACTGATCGTGTTTAGGATGGTTAAGCGATTGATTAAGATTAAGCCACCCAAGAGGTGGCACGGCAATGAATAGCCCGTAAAGTGGTAAACCGCATTGGTAAGCTTTATTTTAACTGCTTTGGACGTTTACCTTAATGAAACTGTGGTTAGAATAGACCATTAGTGTGATGCCACGCTTGCCTCCGACGGCCGTAGGCTCTCGCTGTGAAAAAATTTACCACAAATATATCTTAATAAAAATTCTGGAAAAAATAGTTTATGTCCAATGTATCGGACCAGGTCTAAACTGCTCTACTGCCCTGTTACAGTCCATCTTGCCTCAAGGTGACTCGAGGGGTGTGGAAGGCGGTGTTCACTGGTGTGCCTCGCGGGAACACAAGACTTACCAGAAGGGTGCACGAGCTGTCGCAGAGGCCGACGGAAGTCCACTTGTGATTGGGTGGGATAATGTGCATCGGGGAGACGCTGTGTCCCACCATCAGGATCCCGGCGTCATACTGACGCAGCCGCTCAGTGTAGAAGATGCGTAAACCAGAAGCGTCAACAACGCCTGCACGATAGAGAATAATACTGGTCACGGGCGGCCGTGTACTGTAATGAAGAAAGGTTGAACAAAGCACAAACTGGGAATGATGTAGGCAGCTTACTTGAACTGCATTTTAAATCTTTTCTAAGTTCTTTCATAACTTTCTTGAAGCACTCTCGACTTCTGAGGTGTTATTTAATTTTTTACTTTATTAATATAACGATTAACTTACCTGATTGAATGTAAGAATAATTTACAAGGTTTATCTTAGGACTTGGATATGAGAAACTAAGAACTAAGCGGTTAATCTCACCTGGGTTTAGGTTGGGATTATCATAATGAGTTTCCATGAGGAAGTAGGTAGCGCCTCCATGTTCCTCTCCCAGCGGGAGACCCGCGTGTTTGGGGTACATCTCTCCTGCAGACACAAGCCTCATTAGTCTCCCCCCACACACACACACACACACACAAAGCCTCATTCGTCTCCCCACACACACACCCTCTACCTTCCTCTACGTTATCAAGACTCGTCAATTCTACTTTGATAACAATGAAATCATACACAGACAACACATTATCGTGATATATCAATTAGAAAATTTCGTCAGTGTATTGGAATACCCCTGCGTATAGATTTGAATCCTCAAGTCCGTGACGTATCTGTAGTTCAATCAGTAGTGCTTGTGACCGGGTAGTTTTGGGCATGGCTTCAATATTTTCTCGTACTTTAAATGTCAGTGACTATCTGTATTTAAATATTTACAATTTTATGGTAGCATTCTAGTCATGCAGCTAAGCATATGCTAAGAAAAATCCCTCAACACAAACTGCCAGGGAAAATCTGTAATACGTTGAAAATATTATCCCAATCAGATGTAGAAAAGTTAATATAAGTAAACCAAATTGAGGCTTTTGTGTGAATGAAAACAATGAACCATCGCAACGCGCTTTTATTTATTTATTTCTATTTGTTTTATTTATTTTTTTTATTTATTCCTGCGCGGTCCCTAAGCGTCTGGCTGGCCCACCAAGTGCTATTTGTTTCTTGTCTGCCTTAGGCGGAAGATTTATTTTTGTGACTTGTATGTTAGTTTCAGTAAGATTGTGGTCATGTTAAGTACTATCACCGTTGTAAATCTCGTTTGACATCTTATTTGGTTTGTAACTGCACTGTTAGATAATGTCTGTCGGGCATTTCTTCAGTGTTGACATGGCCTTTAACATGTAGCGATGCTGCCAACAATATTTTCAGCTCGATATTAGTAAATAGTTTTATAATGGACAAACAAATTGAGTGCGCGCGCCTTACCTTGGCCACCGATGGCCCAGGCAACGATGGGACTAGTGCAGTATTTCCAAGAGACTGGCATGTTGGCCCCATAGCACTGGCTGCCTGGCAGGTCGACCCACTTGTCATAGTGCCTGGCACTGTCAGGCAAGTGGCACTCGTACAGCAGGATGTGGTGGACATGCTCCACGTTCCTCTCCTCGATCACTGGAACAAACTGACACGCCCAGCTTGTTACTCAACTGCTTGACACAACCACCGGGTCATTCAAGTGATAAAATGCGTGTCATTCTACCGACTTATTCAACCAACATTGTATATAGTTACATGTTAAGCTTTAAATGAACAAATACTGGATACTCTTCTCACCAGGGGGGTAGAAATAGCCTAAGCTACTCTATCCCTTTGAGATGTATTTCTTTCTTGGCTTAATAAACATACTTGAACTCTTCTCACCCCAATAACGTGAGTCTTGAGAGGCAAGGGAGGGACCTTGTGCAGCTTGCACCAGTAGAGAGTCGTGAGGTGGGCAGGCAGACGCACCTGTGCAAGTATACAAAGACGTGAATCTCATTTATAAGGGCATGATCGTAATGTTAGTAACAGCTTCCTAAGAAATGACTCAGTTTCCGCCAAGTACCTTATTTACTGGCTTTTAAGACCTTTTTTCTACAAGCTAATATATATATATAATATATATATATATATATATATATATATATATATATATATATATATATATATATATATATATATATATATATATATATATATATATATATATATATATATATATATATATGTCGTACCTAGTAGCCAGAACTCACTTTTTGGCCTACTATTCAAGGCCCGATTTGCCTAATAAGCCAAGTTTTCATGAATTAATTGTTTTTCGACTACCTAACCTACCTAACCTAACCTAACCTAACTTTTTCGGCTACCTAACCAAACCTAACCTATAAAGATAGGTTAGGTTAGGTTAGGTAGGGTTGGTTAGGTTCGGTCATATATCTACGTTAATTTTAACTCCAATAAAAAAAAATTGACCTCATACATAATGAAATGGGTAGCTTTATCATTTCATAAGAAAAAAATTAGAAAAAATATATTAATTCAGGAAAACTTGGCTTATTAGGCAAATCGGGCCTTGAATAGTAGGCCAAAAAGTGAGTTCTGGCTACTAGGTACGACATATATATATATATATATATTAATATATATATTAATATATATATTAATATATATAATATATATATTAATATATTTAATATATTCTTGCCCAAACTTGTGCTTTCTTTTACAAGACCATGACAATAACTTTAAATAAATATATGATGAAACACTAAATATTTAAATTCCCACAAAATAGGCTTGTAAAACGGATGCGTCTTAATAGGCTGGAAATATGGTACTTGCAAAGTTTAGCAATATGCAGTTTTAAATAGGAAAACGTCTAAAGGCTACTAACGTTGGGGGAGAAAATCTCCCAAAACTTGACGTCCTCACTAAGGGATGGCTGCACAAACTGAGTTTGCCTCAGGAAGAGGGACTTGGATCCCCTGTGGGTGTGCTTCTTGAGCGTCGTTGCATCAGTTGGATCCTCCTCGCCGTAGGACCAGATCACCCTCACTGTGTCGTCCTGAGTGGCGATTACCGGGTTAGTCTTGCCGTTGTTAGTAATGGTGCCTGCAGAGGTCGCAACAATGACCCGAGACAATGAACTAATAACGGCGAGAGGTTGAGACAAACCCCGTTCTCTTGACACACACAAATCACAATAGCGTGATGCAGCAAATGAACAAATCCACAAAGGGCCGTGATGAGGGGTTCGAACCTACGTCAGAGAGGATCCCAGGGGTCGAGGATCCGAAAGGATCGTGGCACAGTCGATTAACGCGCGTCTGGGATCCTCTCGGACGTAGGTTCGAACCCTCATCAGGCCCTTGTGGATTTGCCCGTTCTCTTGATTTGCCACATCATACAAAATGCTAACATTACGTACTATAAACATGCGAACCCAACAAACCTATTTAACCCTAGCCTACTAATGCACAGAAAACGTGTATGTATGTATGTGTCGTACCCAGTAGCCAGAACTCACTTCTCAGCCTACTATGCAAGGCCCGATTTGCCTAATAAGCCAAGTTTTCATGAATTAATTGTTTTTCGACTACCTAACCTACCTAACCTAACCTAACCAAACTTTTTCGGCTACTTAACCCAACCTAACCTATAGAGATAGGTTACGTTAGGTTAGGTAGGGTTGGTTAGGTTCGGTCATATATCTACGTTAATTTTAACTCAATGAACAAAAATTGACCTCATACATTATGAAATGGGTAGCTTTATCATTTCATAAGAAAAAATTTAGAGAAAATACATTAATTCAGGAAAACTTGGCTTGTTAGGCAAATCGGGCCTTGCATAGTAGGCTGAGAAGTGAGTTCTGGCTACTAGGTACGACATATGTATATATATATATATATATAAATATATATATATATATATATATATATATATATATATATATATATATATATATATATATATATATATAATATAAATAATGACCCGCTACTTTTCATAGCCCTTTGAATAATGTTAGGGACCGTAACGTACAAAATGAGTTGTACTAGTTGAGAGGACATTAGGATGAACAAATGCAGGACAAAGCTAGACATTATTATTCTGAATATCTCGTGAAAGTGCTGATTATAGTCTTCACGACTTGAATTGTCCATTCTTTTACTCATGGTTAAATAATATTTACAGTGTACTGGTTGTTTCTTAGTGTTCTCTCCTGGCGGTTTAGAAAGATGTGTATCCAAAGGGTTCGAATCATTTCTCCTTGGAATCTAACTCGGTATAATGATTTTAAATTCTGTGATACAACGATGGCAAACGTGGCAATATGTGGGATCTGACGTGATTGGGGGAGGGGGGGGGGAGTAATCACGTGGGGTTTACTGAAATTAAAATTGAAATAAGTTTATTGAGGTAAAATACACACAAAGGGATGAGGTAGCTCAAGCTATTCTCACCCCGTTCAGTACATCGTGTTAATACATACTTAGACATACATGGGGTTTACTTGTGATTATTGGGGATTGTGGGGGGATGGCTTGGGAGTGTCGGGGGGAGTGGTAACTTACAGAAAGCTGGAGGTCTGAGAGAGTGTCGCAGGTGGTCCAGGGGCGGGAGAACCTGAGCACTGTGTGGGTGTCGTTCTGGTACCCTCCCAGTAGCGTCACGTCCTGGGACTCGTCGATGACTGGTACCGCGTACCCCGTGGCGTGCCGGTCCTGGTAACAAGTATGACGGAGTTAATATAGAAGGTTCACAGTGTACATACACCGTTTTCCCGGCAGTAGTGTGGGGGCTACACCCGCAGGCAATAATTAATGTAGGGGGCTACACCCGCAGGCAATAATTAATGTAGGGGGCTACACCCGCAGGCAATAATTAATGTAGGGGGCTACACCCGCAGGCAATAATTAATGTAGGGGGCTACACCCGCAGGCAATAATTAATGTAGGGGGCTACACCCGCAGGCAATAATTAATGTAGGGGGCTACACCCGCAGGCAATAATTAATGTAGGGGGCTACACCCGCAGGCAATAATTAATGTAGGGGGCTACACCCGCAGGCAATAATTAATGTAGGGGGCTACACCCGCAGGCAATAATTAATGTAGGGGGCTACACCTGCAAGCGGAAGTAGTGTGTCTGACTACACTTACATGCAGGAAGACCTTTCCGGAGTCGTCCACCCAGCCCAGCACGATGTCGGCGCCCTTCATCCCGCCGTTGGGGGAGAACCCGAGACCCACATACCCGTTCGTCGCCACCTGCAGCAGACACGTGTGCTTTGAATGTAATGAAATAGTGCATAAATCTAAGATCATCTTTGATCGATTAATTATGCCCTTCCCTCGAGAGGAACTCGATCGCCTCACCCCTGAGAATAACCAGCCACACCATATGGGACCATCAAAATAACTGCCCTTCACGGTCGCCGCAAACTGTGTTCCTGCTCTTGGCCCCAGTTATCTGCTAAGGGTTCATGTCGGCATGTTCGGCAGCCCGTCCAGCAGTCCGAGCAACCAGTCTTGGAGAGTAAGAAAACACCATCTTTACACCGTTATTTCGCTACGGGACCAGTTGCATGGTGACACTGACCTGAATGTCGAAGATGATATCTTCGTTTCTGGGCGTCCACTGCATGACGTATTTGTTCATGGTGTCTAGGACGACTCTGTGAGTTGTGTGGAGGGGAGGAGGGCTGCTGCTGCTGCTGCTCTTGGTTGGTGCCGCTGTGCCACTACCCATGGTTGGTGCCGCTGTGCCACTAGCCATGGTTGGTGCTGCTGTGCCACTAGCCATGGTTGGTGCCGCTGTGCCACTACCCATGGTTGGTGCCGCTGTGCCACTACCCATGGTTGGTGCCGCTGTGCCACTACCCATGGTTGGTGCCGCTGTGCCACTACCCATGGCCACCAGTGCCACCATTGTCGCCGTCATCATGAGTGTCACACACACCACCACGCTCATCGTCGCCACTCTGTGAACCCAATCATTGAATCATCAGGTACTAGTCCTTGTGAACCCAATCATTGAATTATGAGGTACTAGTCCTTGTGAACCCAATCATTGAATTATGAGGTACTAGTCCTACTTCTGTTTATACATGACGTTTTGCCAGTTAACGGCTTAAAGTTTCTTAAGGCTTAAAAGGTAAATCGGAAAGTAAATAGAAAAAATGGATAAATCTTGTGTACTCGCCTAGTTGTGTTTGCGAGGGGTTGAGCTTTGGCTCATTGGTCCCGGTGGCTGTATGTGACGGTAACACGGTGTAACAATATCTTACATAAAACTATCCATACTTTTCATTCTCTAGTGTGTCGACTCAAAACTTTCACCTGAATGGACGCTATACCCAGCGCTCTCGGGAAGGGACGCATCATGGAGTAGCCTATCATTAATCTGTATAAAAACTATACGCAGCGCTGTCGGGAAGGGACGCATCATGGAGCAGCCTATCATTAATCTGTATAAAAACTATATAGACATTATACTGGTAGATGGCGATACATTTCTTGAAAAAGATTAATTCTTCAAACTGAAGGTTTGAATTTGTCAAATTCAAATTAAACTGAAAGTAATGTGAATTTCCGTTTGTTAAAACCGTTTGTCGTAACCCATATAATAATCACAGCTAATTTAATGATTGTAGATGGCTTGGGCCTAAGTATATTGCACTTGACGTACCACTAACATTTTGGAAACTTGCATTCGTTAGAACCTTGTAGTCAAACATGATACGCGACTGCAGGGAAGCCTATGGGTGTATGACTAGGCTAATGGAACAGGCCAGACGGCTCCACTGAACTGGATTTTACCATCCGGCTCATTTGTTGTTCAGTCTGGCTCATTTGTTGTTCAGTCCGGTTCGTGTGGTGTCCAGTCCGGTTCGTGTGGTGTCCAGTCCGGTTCGTGTGGTGTCCAGTCCGGTTCGTGTGGTGTCCAGTCCGGTTCGTGTGGTGTCCAGTCCGGTTCGTGTGGTGTCCAGTCCGGTTCGTTTGTTGTGCAGTACTACTCAGTAAATCACGTTATGTTCATCTTTATATCAAAATTGACATTGAACTTTAGTCTAACACTGCTCTGAAAAACTATTCATCACCGTTATAGGGAGAACCTGAACTAGATCCAAACGAACCTTGAATGCACATGCTATAGTTAAAGTAGGGATCATTTACCAAGTACAGTTAGACGACTTACAATGCGTCTCGTCGAATCCTGAACCAAATGATCAAGGTACACATGTAGTAAAGCTTTGAGGGGAACACTTCAAGAAATTCACGAAGTAGAATATTGCGGTAAGCCGATTCTTAAACGCGTCGTATCTCACACCTTCAAGATTCAATACTGAGATCCAAACGCCAGGGTGAGACGATGTCACGCAGAAGACACATCAAACCGGATACTTACACCACTAGGCCGGTGCTCAAGCGGGCCGGTGTGGAGGCTAGCGTGCATGCAAGCCGGGTGAATCCAACAATACGTTCCCACACCTGGAGTGGAGCAGGACTGAGCCTCTGACTGGGTGCTGCTGCTGCTCTCCCTCGTCACTGTACACCGGTTGCCATTCTTTCCACTTGTTTGTTTCCCCCCTAAGATGTGCCTCGAGGCGTCAGAGATCGGCGGAGCTCGGAGCAGACGCGAGCGGATGCTGCACGAGGAGCCAGACGAGAATACCTAAAGGATGAGGATGCTGGAACCTTAAGATCACAATATGACGCATTACTCATGAAACTATTCCCGGAAACGGCCTGAACGCAGATTTGGCCGCGTATTTGGTTTCCCATTGTTGGGACAGGATGCGAGTTAGGCTTCTCAAGGTTCCCCCCAGGCCAACAGTGGACCTTTCACAGGAAGGCACCCCACAACAATTAACTCCTAGGTACCCTATTGACTGATAGGTGACCGGGGAGGCATTAGGTGTAAAGAAACGTCGAAACGTCTTGTCCTTCTCTAGAATTAAAATTGGGATCATTCGCTTGTGAACCTCCTCTCTCCGAGGTATATGCGGTTAGGGGGGGGGGGGCGTCTGCCCACACGGGTCCTGGCGCCCGGGGGGCCGGGTCTGCCCATACGGGTCCTGGCGCCCGGGGGGCCGGGTCTGCCCATACGGGTCCTGGCGCCCGGGGGGCCGGGTCTGCCCATACGGGTCCTGGCGCCCGGGGGGCCGGGTCTGCCCACATGGGTCCTGGCGTCATTTCATGACGGTAAAGATCGTAGGGGAAAAACACTCATATGCACAAGGTCACCCAACGATTGTTTTCCATTGTCAGGGGGAGGCGCCAGGAAGTGTTGGGCAGGCGTGTTGAGGTACCTCTAGGACTAGACCAACAACTGGCCTTCCCCTGGATGCCAACCACAACAGTTTTACCCAACTCCTGGCTACCTATTTACTCCTAAGTGGGGGGGGGGGGATCACGTATAAAGAAACGTGCCCAAACACTTCGACTTTATCCAGGAAATGAACCCAAGATTATTTGGCTTGAGAATCGGCAGCACTGACCGCTACGCTACGGGACGATCGAGCATATTCACGCACCTGGACGCCCTCTAAACACTAATGTTTCTGATAAGCGGCATCAACGCTTAAGTGAAACGCCGGAAAATTCTAGACGGTTGATGTTTAGAATGTTTGGGCATTAACACGAGAGAATTTGAATTAAATTCAAGATGTTTCTCTGACGTCGACAGTAAGGAACATCTCGAGAGGATGATATGCTCGGTAGTTGTACAGGAAGTCTTTGGTGAAGTTGACGCTGCATGATGACATTGCATGACTGGTGGCAGGGACACGACGACGACTGCATGACTGGTGGCAGGGACACGACAACCACTGCATGACTGGTGGCAGGGACACGACAACCACTGCATGACTGGTGGCAGGAACACGACAACCACTGCATGACTGGTGGCAGGGACACGACAGCCACTGCATGACTGGTGGCAGGGACACGACAACGACTGCATGACTGGTGGCAGGGACACGACAACGACTGCATGACTGGTGGCAGGGACACGACAACGACTGCATGACTGGTGGCAGGGACACAACAACGACTGCATGACTGGTGGCAGGGACATGACAACGACTGCATGACTGGTGGCAGGGATCACTGCGTCTACTGAATACTGCAATAACCACCACCTCATTCTCAGATGATTACAAAAACATAACTGCATTGATAACATACAGGAAGCTATAAAACAGGAACTCCGGATCTACAACAGCGTTCCTGGATTGGTCATGTACAAGATTCTAATTGGTTCTTTACACCAATTTCTAAAGGCAGTTCTGATGTTAGCCAGCTTCGCGTACGTCGTTGAAGCTATTCTTTTTATATAGGGTCAGGAGACACGTTCGGTGTGATATCAACTCGTAGGTCCTTCTCTAATTCATGGACGACTTCGTCTCCCATTTGGTACTTTGTGTTTGGCCTCCTGCTCTCTCCACCTAACTTTATTACTTTATATTTACTTAAACTCTAGTAGCCCGCTCCTGTGCCAGGTAAGTTACGGGCTCACCATAGCCCGTGCTACTTGGAACTTATTCAGAGTAGTTGAATCTATATCATCATCATCTAGTAGCCACTTGTTGGACCATTTCATCAATTTGTCCAGGTAGCCTCTTGCTATCGTAACTGATCCTCATCACTTTTGGGTTGGGATAATTGTGGGTTGTATCCTGGGGATGGTCAGAAGTTGACTTAGTGGGATGGGGAACCTGGATAAGTCTTAAGTACAGACTTCCTGTAAAGGGACTGAATTATGTTAATTCATTGTGTCGGGGGACAGGAAGCCAGAGTGTATTCATACAAATTAGTCTTGTATATCCTCCCCAACCAAGATCGAATTACTGACCCCGCCCAGGATGCAACCCGAACAAGAGTACCTACTTACTGTTAGGTGAACAGAGACATTAGGTGAAAGGAAACGGGGCTAACCATTTTTGTCCCGCCCGGGATTCGAACCCGGAATACAAGATTATGCGTCAAGAACGAACCCGACTGTACTATTGGAACCCTTAAATATTGTACGTTCAGTATGTCATCTTGTTAGGGCCTTGGGGCCTCGTAGCCTGGTGGATAGCGCGCAGGACTCGTAATTCTGTGGCTCGGGTTCGATTCCCGCACGAGGCAGAAACAAATGGGCAAAGTTTCTTTCACCCTGAATGCCCCTGTTACCTAGCAGTAAATAGGTACCTGGGAGTTAGTCAGCTGTCACGGGCTGCTTCCTGGGGGTGGAGGCCTGGTCGAGGACCGGGCCGCGGGGACACTAAAGCCCCGAAATCATCTCAAGATAACCTCAAGAAGAAGATTGTTACAGGAGGAGTTGCCTCATTTGCCCAAAACGCTGTGCGTACTAGTGGCTTTAGGTATTGTATGTACTACCTCTATCTATAAATCCAACATTATGTTTGTAAAACAACTATGTATGTGCTTTCCTGAATAAAATTTACTTACTATTATGGTTAATGGCTGACAGGTTACAACTTTTAGACGTCTTGGGGTTTTAATAGTGTTACTGACGTATTTAACTCTACCTCTCCCCTCCTCCCACACAGTGCTACTTATTGTTGCGTGCTCCAAAACTGCGTATACGCCATGCAAGGGGCATGTTGTATGTCCTTCTAGATAGGTCGTATACCCATACCCATCGTATGTAATACAAGGGAACCTAACCCCACGTCCCTGTACCCCTGGCGAAGGTCCAAGCCATCAGCGCGGTCACCCATCCAGTGCTGGTTTCAACTTGACTGAGTGAGTGACGTGAACATATCAGCCATTGTGGTGCCGTTGACATTCTGAAGTGCAATGGACCGTAGTTCCTGAATTCATATAAAGTTTTGTGCCTCAGTGGTTGCAGTACGTACTAGAGCGGCCTGCAGGTGTCCATAGATGAGATAGGACACCATCTCCGTATAGAGTATAGCGCTTTTTTTACTT